TTGCTTTCTTGAACCCACACCGAGGAAACTGGAAGTTTGATTTCCACTGGTACAGCACAGAAGAGCCAGTAAGTATTGGATCGTTGATTTCCACTGGTACAGCACAGAAGAGCCAGTAAGTATTGGATCGTTTCCAGTAGTGAAGCGCCGGTTCAAAGAAGGCATGCCGTCCACGAAGTAGTTGTAGAAATTTGCGACTGCGTGAGTGTTCACGACGTAGAACATCCTGATCAGTCGCCCCAACATAGTATGGTGTGTGCCATGGGGAAAGTCGAATGTAGACGCACGGTTGTTGGTGATGACCTGGATCATGTATGAAGTCGTAGAGGTCAGGAAATCGCGCCCGCAATGAGCGTAGATGTCGCGTGTCAGCGAAAGTTGAGTGCATGATTTCACACAAGAGAGAAGTCTTGTAGAAGTGAAGGACTTCGAAGAACGGCGGTTGGTGATCTGATGAATAAATAGGCGCGCACCGACATCTCGTACCTGTTGGCCACGGTGTGATCTGCGAATTCGGAATCTGGAGGGCTATCCGGACCACAACTAAGACCTCGAGGATGAGACCCAGCCACGGCAATTGTGTGATGGATTCGTACTCCTCAATTGGAATCGACGGTGGTGGTAGTCCAGGGAAACAGTAATGCCAGCACGTCGAGAATGTGGTCAACGAGTGCAGAAGGTCGTCCAGCGACTGCCATTGTGCAACATCATCATAGATTCCGCAGCGGCGAAGTTCATCCAACATGGTGAGATGCAACCAACGAAATCTACCACAAGGCGGCGACATGAATACAAGCATCACAGACCATCACACAAGAGGCAATGCAAGAACAAGCAAGTACAAGATCAATCATGTGCAACGCAAACATTTGACGGACGAGTTTTCACCTGGACTCATCCGTGACATTGTTGCCGCTCCGGGCTCATATGAGAACGAAGGTCGTCATGATGCCTTCTCATCCACAAAGCAGGCGAGCGGTCACGATGAGGTGACTCAATGCCTTCTCAGTGAGTTTGGTAAGGTACCCGGGTTCAAGACCCCATGATGCTGCCATTGCACCGAGTGTGGGCGCATCGCCCTTCGGCATGCGTTGCCTGGCTTGAAGAAGCTGCGTCGCCATAGAATCTAACGACTTGTTGCCGTTGAGCCGGGACGGGTGATTGGCCCACTTAACCAGCGATGCCAAAGTGGTTGTTGTGGGTGCTTGCTTGAGGAAAAGGCGAGGTTGGTCACTGGTCCATGTGTAGTACTTGACAACTTCATCCGGCGTGCTGTGCATGGTGAGCAACTGTGACGCCGCCGGTTTGGACGGCGGTGACGACACTCCGTGAAGAGACTGCATGATCCGAGGTTGCACCACGCTATCAAACGACTTGCCATCCAGGGCGGCCGCGCTGGCTGTGGGAAGGGAGCTGGCAGGTGACGAGGATGGTGTGTGGTTGACCGGTGGCGGTGTAACCAACTCTGCATCATCTTTCTGGTTTGTCATCGTGGGCGAGGTCGATGCGCGAAGTGATGCGGAATATTGAGCTTGGAGAAGTTCATGTGCACGATTCAAATCATTGAACTTCTTGACCATGTCATCGGTCTGGGCGGCAGGTGCGAGAGAGGTGTGATGTTGTTGAAGAAATTGAAGTACCAGGTTGGCCAAATGGTCGTGGACCTTGATGCGCTGATTGAAGTCATCAATGTTGAGACCCAGCGTGTTGGCAAGGTCCTTTTCCAGGGTGAGCAGGTTGAGTGACTGCGATCTTCGTAGTAATTTGGAGCAGGTACTCCAAAGTAAGGCCTCAGTGCGGGTGCGAAAGCCTTCCCACGTCACGAATCGGCCGTGTGCAAACGGCCTGAGTAGCCAGTTGGTGAGGCCCCCGTGGATAACCTGAACCAGGCGTACGTCCCTAATATCCATGCCTGACATGTCGCGAAGGTTGCCATGTGGAGTGTTGGCAACGGTCATGGGCAGGCTGAAGTTGTAGAGTTGATTGACATCAAACATGCCGTCTCCAGGTGTCCAGTCAGGCGATGGAGTAAGCCAGGCTTTCTGAGGACGAACCGGTAGAGCTGCAGGAGGTCCAGGTGAAGGTGTAGGTTGGGAAGTAGTGACCGGTGGTGGCATCATTGGTGGCATGAACTTGGATGGCGTGGGATCAGGAGGGATCGGCATCATGTAGTTGATCGCCGGGTGTTGGAATTGCTGTGTGGGGTTGTGAGTCGATTGAAAATTGATAGGCACTATCGGAAAGTTGTTAGCAGCATTGTAGCCGGAGTTGTGTTGCCATGAAACCAAGTTGTTCCAATCCATGTTCTCCGAGACCTGGTTGTCATTGTGCTCACGTCGGCGTGCTTTGTGAGCTTGAGGGGACGGACTCCGATCACGTCTGCGTCGAGTCCTGGATCTATCACGATCATCACGTCGAGACATGGTGACGCAACTGAATCGAATTTGCACACTTCCACCTTGAGAGAATCAGACCCGACAACATTCAAATCAATGCAAATGCAAGTTAGCGGCCCTCAACTGCAATGGTCGAGCGAAATGTACAAGGCAAAGCAAATACAAGTCAGCAATCGACAACCGCAGTGATACGAGCAACAAGTTCAACCAATGGTCAGGGTAGGCAATGAAAATCGGCAGCTATCAACTGTGGTGAGACGTCGCTATGAACTGACGGCTTTCTTCCCTTCAGTGAAACCTCGTTCCTGGTTAAATGTGAAATTCCGCTGTTCTATGATACGCACGTTGAGGTCAAATTTTCCGACAGAGCCGGCCCGGGGTCACACAATGGGTACACCCGAGGATTCCCCACGAATGGGGTGTACACACTTAAACTCCAGATGGAGAGTGCTAATCTTTCGAGTACAACTGATGAGTCTCGAGTACAACTGATGAGTCTCGAGTACGATGAGTTTCTGCTTGATTTCCGCGGGCAAAGAGGGGACCTTGTTGGGTAGCTGAGGTACTAGCTTCCACGCTTCGTTGGATCAGGTCAGTCCAAGCCTGACCTAGCTTCCTGCTGTGACGAGGTCAGTCACTGGAAGCCTGATCCCCCTGCTGCGAAACCGAAAGGGTGGTGACAGGGCATTCTGTCACTCCGCACACACACACACACACACACACGTAGCCCATATCCGGTGGTCCATTCGAGGTTCGGGGGGGACCATCGATTGTTTTCCCAGACCTTGAGGACCTAACTTACTAAGTCGCCTGGGGCAGGATGGGGTTGGGCGGGTTACCCTTGATTCCAACACAAGCATATCCGGGTCTAAATACTTGAGTGGGGTTGCGAGGTGCAAGCTCCATGTTTTGATTGGTCCAAGACCTATTTCTACTGATTCTAGGAGTATTAGTTGTGTAATGATGTAGCCCCTTTTGTTAGGTGCCGCACATTTCTTTGACAAGGCTCCTGAAAAGCGCGAATGTCGCGCCTCATGCCTCTCGTTGCGGCCCGGAGAAAGGGTTTCAAAAACCGCGAATGCCTATGAGCCTCAACCAGCAGACTAAAACATATGGCCACGGGCCAAAATCCCGGTTAGCCCCCAGTGAACATCCCAATCCACTAAATAAACTAAAATGGGTGGTGCACCTTCCCCAAAATGGTACCATTAGTTTTGACCAGTCATATGGATATGGGGCAAAATTCAACCAGGAATTGGACCGCAGGTTAACTCGTCAACTTGGTGCCATTTTCCAGGGCAAGCCATTTTAAGGGCTACCCGAGTTTCGACCCACACCCATATGGCTTTGTAGGGTTGGACCCCTCAAAATGGCTTTGGGGTTCCTCTTGGTTTTCCTTTAAAACCACCAAAAAGAGTACCAACTTCAAAAAACTGACCGATGAATATACCCAAATCCCTGTGGCCCCAAAAAAGCGCAGCTTCAAAAATTCGAACATCAGACCCATGCGAGCAAAAGCTCGCCACCAAACGGAGACCAAACTGGACTTCCGGAAGACACGACCTGTTGCTGGTACTGGACGATTGTTAGAGCAAGTCTGAGGGTTGATACCAGCTTCTGTTCCACGTCCAGATATGGCCGTGGCTCAAATAAATGTACCAAAATGGCACCTTGGTAAATGTACCAAAGCTGGTTGGTTGCCCCACTTACCTCCATTTGCTTAAGACGCCTGGAAAAAATAAACAAATGCTTCCAGTAGTGATAGATTCCCTTTAAAACCAACAGGGGGAAATAAACAAATATCTTAACCAAATGGAAGGGTTGAGACCAGTTTCTGTTCAACGTCCAGAACCCATATGTTCCAGAGTGGCTCACAGAGGGGTACCGCAGTGAAAACTGAAGAGACCAAGCTGGCAAGAAGGCTGTCTATGTCCGGCTCATTTGCACCCCGAAAGCCCGCCAACAGATGCCCTCAAGATTGCAAGTGAACCAACCACACTTATACAACCAGAATTTCTCAGGAAATTGCATCTGATGATCCCCCTTCTGCTTGCAACATTCAGGGCATCCACAGTAGCTTGCTAAAGTCTCTAGAACTCTTTGAGGCTGGTCCTTATGCTGAGCCTGGTGGAAGTTCAGCATGCCTCCTTAAACGGGAATCCTTTACCACTGTGCTGGCCAAACATTTGTGCAAGAGAGTTGCTTACACAAAGGGGTGCCTTGGAGAGAGTCTTGGGCGAGCAACCTAGACTTAGGGATGGGTCAAACGGTCCACCCCTGTAGGTAGAACCTCCTTTTAATGCCACTTTCAAGCGAAGGCCTGGCGATTCAAACAACATGCTACCAGAATAGTTGACACATCGGAGAATCTGACCTCTGGACAAATCATAGGAACCCCCTTGTTCAGCCCCTGAAAACGCAAGTATTCTGGACCATGGATCCCCCCTGAGTTTGGTTTCAGGGTGCTAAACAGGTGTGCAAATTCTCAACCTCCTTTTGCTTTCCTGTAGACTCACAAACATCTGGGCTATTCAGCACCCAGGTTTCCCAGAAAAATGGACGCACTCCGATCCTCCGATCGTGCACAAGTCTTCTCCCTCGCTCCTCAAATCCGGACCATGGCATTCTTCTTGGCGCGGACCTGAACCGGTGGTCAAACCCTGATGCAATCTCACCAAAACCCAGAAAAGACTGGACCTTATTGACTGGTAGGTGTTGTCAAGCACAACCCCCCTCATCCCCTCATGCAATCTCACAAGGGCCCATGGACCCCTTGGACCTTATTGACCGGTAGGGTGCTACGTTTCCCCTTTTTTTTTCGGTTTTGTTTTGTTTGCTACTTAGCACCCAGCTTGCCGTGGTGACTCCCTTTCAAAGCCGGCAAGGAAACGCTCCCTGTTGGGTCTGTTGAGGGCACCCTTTTTGGGGTTGTTTTGAAGGGATAAGTAAATAGACGCCCACCATCTCCCACCATGTTGAGGGCCACCATCTTAAAGCAATCAGACACACAGAGACACAGACACACACCCATCCGACCTAATACACCCCTGTTTATTAATATGGGGGTGTCCCGGGTTTTGGTGGGGATTTAGCACTTTTGGAGGGGAACACCCCCATATTAATAAACAGAGGTTTATTAATCCGGGGTCGACATTACAAACATGACCGCGAATCGAGTCACATCCTAAATCGGGCAGGGCGTTGCCAGGGCACCAAAAGTAAATCAATCCCCTAAACAAACACACCACCCGACAGGACACTAAACCGCTCCGTTTTGGTCCCTACGATATATAAAACTGATATGGACGAAACACCCGGCACGACGCGCGACGGCGCCGGGCATTCTGGTGCCCGTTTACTTCATTGCACTCATGGTGCTTCCTAAAGGGGCAAGACTTATATGCACACATTTCTCACCGCAAACGGTCACGAAACACCAGCCTGATCATTGGCGCTCTTTGTGTTTGCCCCCAAAAAAAAACAAGCAAACTGAAGCCATGTTTCTTCTTTGGATTTGGTTCATTTTTGTTTATTGTGTTTTCCTTTTTTTGTTTGTGGACTTTTGTCTTTCTCGGACTCCAGCCATGTCTTTTTTAGGACACCTTTTGTTTTGGGGGGGTGGGAGAAGGGCAGGGGATCTCGATTCGGTTGCCGCGGGGCATCGAACTCCAGCTCCAGGTCCAGCTCCAGGTCTTCATGACGCTTGTTCTGGCGATCCGAAAACGCCGGGCGGGGAAAAAACCCATGGGCAGTTTGCCAGATCTCCCCCCAAAAAAAATATATATATGGAAAACAACAAAGAGACGTGGTGGAAATCCAACGAAAAAATAAATAATTTGCAAAATCAGACTGGTGAGCATCTAAAGCAGGTGTTTTTTTCCAAACGCCTTTCCCTTGGGTTCTGGGTGAATCATCGTATTTCACCCACCTGAAACCGCGGTGGTTGGGGGGCTCTTCCAACCACATAAACCACGTTTTGGGTGAGGTCGTGTGAGGTTGTTATAATTTACCCATATGTATTGACTGGCCCTTAGAACAAGTTATATATGCAAGTTCTAGTCTAGGTCGGTTTGGTGTGTCTTTCGTTTTCTTTTGTTTGTTTCTTCTTCTTTTTTACCCGGCAGAGCTATACATGGTTGGTTCTCTGTTTGTTTTATGTTTTGTTCCGGGGAGTAGGAGAAACCCAGTTTGAGGCGTAGTTGTTCACGTGTTTTTGAGGCTGGCAAATGCCTTTTTTTCGTGGTCTTTCTGCAGGCCTTAAGTTACCCTCCCCAAAGTTACCCAGGCGTATGAGTCACCGAGTGTGAGATTCACTGACTTGGAAATGAAGGATGCCTAAGTAGAGCAACTTCAAGCCATGAAAGCTGCGCTCGCTTTACTGCCTGATGGGATGGCCCAAGAAGGGAGGCAAAAGCCAAACAACTGGAGAAGAGAGCCAGACCACCACCACTGGCGACTCAAAACAGGATCCCTCTCAAACATGAGAGGAGCCCAATGCTACTTGCGAAGCCTGCGATATCAGGCCCCATACTTAACGCCTTGATCTCAACGTATGCTCCCGCAATATCCTTCCTTCTGGGCGGGACACGCGGTGAAATCGCGAGATTCCAGCACATGTTTCTCCCACCTGCTCTCTGGGAGCTAGATGGGCTGGAAGCTCGATTCCTCAAAGAGCCGTTCTTGGGTTACTGCCCTCAGATCCCCCAATAAAACGGGTTTAACTAATTTAGCGGGCTAAATACGGAAATATACCGCGAGAAACACTAAAAAGATCTAAAAAGCTCAGTTGAACCGGATGGCTTCCGAGCCAAGGTTTGGAGCCTTTGGAACCCCAGTTTTCAGCACAGCCGAGTTGGTTCTGGCTCCCAGGTTGGAGCCTGGCTCACCGAGGAACCTTTTGGTTCGCGAGCGGCCAAAACCCAAAAACATGACCGTCCAGCAGGCAGTTCTCCAACCACATGTCCGAAAAAAGCGAAGTTTAAGAAGAGGGATGCCAGTCAAGTTTTACCCAAATGCATAGAAGATTCTCTTGGCACAGTTTGCAGATTGCCAAGGTTGGCTCCCAGGTTGGAGCCTGGCTCACCCCGAGCGGCCAAAACCAAAAAACATGACCGTCCAGCACCGCTGACCTCCGAAGGTTCAGTGAGAAATGGACAGCCAGTCAGTCCTAAAACTTGGGAAGTGCATTCTTAGGACAACCCCGACAACCCTCGGTCAGCATCATGGTGAGCCCATGTTACCCGCTCGCCAAAAAATAACGTTGACCCCAGATTGATCAACTCCAGCTTATTGAAAATGTGTTCCCCTCCAAAAGTGGTCTGATTCCCCACATTCCACCCCGCTAAAACCAGAAATGGACACCCCTATACTAATAAACTGGTTGGGATTCATTTTTACGGCAACATTCCACGGCTCCTGTCCAGTTCTTAGCATGTCTGCTATTTTCTTCGCATGTCCATCTATTTTCTTAGCATGTCCATCTATTTTCTCAGCATTTCGAAGCATTTCTTAGCTTTTTCCCATTTATTTTATTGGCATGTCCGTTCCCCATGGCTCCTCGCCCACTGGGGCGCCCGTTTTCCTGATTCCCGCTTCGCCTCCCACGCCCACAGGAAGCTGAGGTAATGCGCGTGCAGCTTCCGCGCGTCCATGATCTCGGCCGCTTTTTGCGGGTTGGGAGATCTATGGGTCAAGAGCCACGGAAAACCAAACTTAGCGCCTTAAAATCCTGAAACCCTCCTGAACCCTTAAAACACAACGAGATGGTTTCCCCCAAATCAACTAGATCAGAACCAGATCTCAGATGTTGTTGTAGAAAACCGTGTGAAACGAGATGAAGCGAGATCAAGTCTTGGTCACTGCCGTGCGTTCAGCCGGCCTCGGGGCTCACAAAAAGCACCAAACCGCAAGGAGTCAGTCCGTAACGATTGTCATGCCTTCGCGAAGAGGGCTATTGCCACACCTCGCATACTGCACTTGTTACCAATAAAGCGTGATTCAGCTGGAACTCAAGCGCCCTTCGGCGTAACGTCTCACTTGTCCCATAAAGTTGTGATGTCCGAGCTGAGCTGCCAAAGCGCGCTTCGCTTACTGCACTTGAAGTTGCTCTCTTTAAGCTGGAGCTGGCAAAGTGCGTGCTGCGCGCTACAGTGGCACTGAAGAGTTGCGCTAGTTGAGCTGGCGTACACTTGTACTGACAAGGTGAGATTTCGAGCTTGAACGTAGAATCTAGAAGACACAGAAGTGCTGCAAAACGAGACGGTGACGCGGTGGAATGCTTCGAGTTGGTGGAAAGACGAGCGTAAGCGAATTCAAAACCAGACACGAAATTTAGCATTGAGGACACATTCAGTAGTCAGCTGCTAATGGGCAAGCACTCTCCTCTATCAAATTGAAGATCAGGTTGTGAATGGTGATTCTGTGTGTCTCTCTTTGTTTCCGGCGCGTAGAAAAAGGGCTTCCGATTAGATTCGGCCACGCTGAGACAGCAAACTGGGTTCATCTTGGAACCTTTGGAGAGAGATCTTATTTTTTGCTGGTGAGTGCTTTGAAATGGGCATCTTGTGAAAAGTTTGCAGCTAGTTTAGTCACCAAAAGGCGTTTCAAGGTCGCGTCTCAGACAGGCGGTGTTCCAAGAGGAAAGTAGTCTTAACGCAGCCTCCATGATGCTTGGAGGCGAAAGGTTGTGACCAAAAGGTCTCCAAAAGATACCCGCCCCAAAACACACGTCGAACCTGAACGGGGGCCCCTGGACAAAATTCGTCATCAGAGGGTCATGTTCAGGTTTGCATGCTTGTCTGTTGGGAGGGTAACAATTTTTAGGGCAAGCATGTGAGCCTCGGCAAGTACTCGTTTGTTCCCCCAAGAGAAGAGGACATAGGACAATTAGGGATTAACCCCTGGTATTGTGGTTGACCCCTTCCCGCCCCTCCCAAATGGACCATAGACGAATCATATTAGTTTGACCAAACCTCATGTTTCCCCTTCGGGCGATTTAAACACAATTATTTTAGAGGGTGATTACACAATGAGCTTCCCTTTAGTGGACAGTCAATTCTCTGGGCTCCCAAATGGGTGTGGCTCAAAATTAACAGGAGATTCCATTTTTCATCAGCCAGAGACAAACTGAAGAGATGGAACAAAACCGAAGCCAGTGCCATCTATTTCTAACCAAAATCTAAAAAGGACACCTCTGCCAACGGATGGCTTTATTCCCCAACAGCTGAAAGCTTTGGGGTCTCAGCCCAGATGGCCTCCGGGCGGCCCTGAGGTAAGGTTCCACCAGGGTTCCACCAGGGTTCCACCAGGCTTCCACGAAGTTCTGCGAGGGCTGCGGGGTGGTGCGAGCACTAAAAAGAGCACCGCCTGCTGTTGGGGATACTGTGGATGGACGAAATCCTGCACCAGCTAAGAAACCCTAGAATGATGATTCCCCTGTAAATACCGACAGACAATGGTCTCCCGTGGTTTCAAGGTGGTGCAGGATTTCGTCCATCCACAGTATCACCTGAGCTTATTTTTTGGACGATTCCTCGAGGGCTCTGGGCTCTGGACGTTGCAGGAGGGCAGGGAATGAGGCTTCGCGCCATCCTGCGCTCGCCCGGCGATGGCCGGGAGGCGCAGTTTGGGGGGTCCTATGGCAGCGGGGGGGTGGCAGGGGTTCTCGGCTACAAGTAGTCTAGTGCTACCTTCCCCATTCTAAACCCAGGGATCCGAATCTTTCTAAACCTCCGGAAACCCATGGAACCCATGGAAACGGATACGGCTTTCGACAAGAACGATGATTGGAAAGAATGGAAAAGGAATCAACCCTTAGAAGTATAAACCACGTCCAAGTCCCCCAAGTGGACTTTAATCGTGTTCTTGGCAGGTTAAGACCCAAGTGGCCAAGCAGTCACAAATTTGGCCGAGCATCCAAGTAGGTGTGTTTCCTTCGTGGATGTTCCACAAGGCAGACGTTAACCCAGAGGGTTGCCCAACTTTGAAGTCTACCTTGGGGGCGATCAAGAAGTGGAACGCGCTCCCTGGACAAAACAAACCCCATGGCCCTTGCTAAAGTCTGACACCGTCAATGCTGCCACGGTTGCCCTCATGTGTGGTTTACCCTTCAGGGCTATGGTTCAGGGGTCAGCGTGTCCCCGAACTTGTTCTCTGTCAGCCGCATCAATTCCAGGCAATGAACACCACCTGTCGGTAGAAAACCAAGCACTGAACACTAAAAGGATCTAAAAAGCTAAGTTTTTCACCGGATGGCCGGCTTCGCCACCAAGAAAGCAAGGAGTCCCCGGAGTCCCCGTGGCTCCGAACGAGGCGAACGAACAATACACGCGCGTTGTGTCTTGCGTTGGTAGTTTTGTCTGTGGCCCTGCCGCAAGGCCCATGCGAGCTTCGAACCACCCAGCCGTTTTCAACTAGTTTTTGTGGAGTTCTTCCTGCCGCAGGTTTTGATGGATGACGATGTTGGCGGGCCGCACACAACAGGCACACACACACAACACACCCGTACAAAGTGGACATAAGCCCTCTTGAGCTCCAGATGTTTCTCCGCGAAGAGCATGGCGCTGGTCATCGTCAGCACTACCTGACGATGAATCAAAAGCTGCGCTGAAAGTAAACCTCCAAACGAACTTCGGTGGAAAAAGGGGCAAAAATGCTGGTGCTCAGGGAATGAGGGTATGAATTCAGGGATTCCCAAGGAAACCATACGGGATGGTGTATTGGGGTCATTCCATCACTTATACCTGACCTGTGACGCGTTGAAGGGGCCCCAATAAATGGGCGCAAAATCACACCTGATTGAGCTTTGGCCTGGGGCCTAGGCGGCCTAGGCGATCGAAACCTGAGCCACAGGGCACAGATTTAATACAACTTGTTGGAGTTGATTCTACAGAGGTACAAGATTGGCTCCCGAAGGATCCCTTTTGGTCCCTTGGTTCACAGAAATTGGGCTTCCAGAGATTGAGGATAGTCCCGCCCAAACTTCCCCTTGCTTTTCGCGTCATCTCAACCCTGGGATTCATGCGGAGGACCACACTAAGGCAGTGGTGCCCGCCCTGGTGCCTCATTCCTTTCCCCAAGAAAAACATGTTGGCCCCATGTGGCTGTGGTTGTCAAAACCGTTTTGGGATCCCATTTTGGGGTCGGTGAATTCACCACCCATGTTAGAACCTATTTTAGTGGGGATTGGGATGTTCACTGGGGGTACGGCATTTTGACCCATGGCCATGCCCCTCTGAAACCACAAATCAGGAAGTGTTGCACAACCCTTTAATATGGTATCCCAGACTTTCAGTGGAATTCCATGGGCAAAAACAGATTTGGAACCCTTGTCCGTCGGTTGATTTCCGAGCAACAAAACGCTATCCGAAACACGAAAGGACAAGCCTTTAGCAATGGAGCCAACCGTCTTTAACGTCCCGTCCCGGTCCACGGTGTGCCATACACTGAGTGACTGAGTGGTAAACCCGCGCCACATTCTGGAGCAACGCTCATTCATGAATGCAAGCTGCAATCTAAGAACCACCAATTCTGTCTGAGTAGGATGGATGGATGGATGGATGGATGGACGGACGGATGGATGGATGGACGCATAAGACGCATAGCCCAGACTGCAGTGGCTCCTTGAACGCCACTTCTTGCACAGGGACTGAGTCATCTGCCCAGTGGATTTCCATGGGGAAAAAGGGCATATGTTTTTTGGTTTTCTCGTTTGGTTGACTTTAAAATAATCGGAACCCTTACCCAAAAAAAGTTGGAAAAAAGGCACCACGGGGCATCCTTTTTTGGTTGGTTGACCTTCAAGGAATCGGAACCCTTCACAACAAAAGTCGAAAAAAGGGCGGGCGGAATTCCACTGGGCCGGGGCAAATCTATGATCCTGACTTTGAAGGGGAACCCTTACCCAAAAGAGTTGCAAGAAAGGCACCACTCGTCTGGGTTGATCCACCGGGCAAAAGGCAACTGGGGTAATCTACCCTTACCCCAAAAAAAACGCACCCAAAAAGAAGCTTCAAACAACTTTGGCGCCACTGGGCTGAGGTCATCTCTGGTCTCCTTTTGGTGTCTCACTACTAGGCTGGAATTAGGACCCCAGCAAAAAAAATTAGAAACTGCCTGGTTGGGGAGTTACTTCCGGGGAAGCTTCTTTGCCTCATCCTGCTCCTCGAACTTCTCCTGGACCCCCGGGAACCTCAGCGCCACCGCCACCGATGCGCAACCCACCCGCCGAGGAACGCACCGAACTTGGAGTCGGCCTTTGGAGTGGGCCTTTGGAGTCGTCTTGAGTATCAAAACCGTTTTTTTTTTTTTTTTTTTTTCTGCGGGCTGACCCGCCTTTTTTTTGGAAAAAAGAATGAACACTTGCCCTCTTCCGTGCAAAAAACACTTCTGAGGCGGACAGCCTTCTTTGTTGTTGGCCCGCCAGAAAACTTGCGATCGGTGCGAGATATGCAGGGAATGAGAATTGGAATGACACCTATAGACCATCTATGGTTTTCTTTCAAGGAAATCCCCAGATTCCAATTCCCTCATTCTCTGCTGAGCACCAGCAAGAAAAGAAGGAAGCAACGGCAGCTGGAGCTTTGGCCTTGCGTTGAAGTCAAGGCTTCGGGCTCGTTTCGTTTACCTTCAAACTACCACTTAGACTGCGGGAACGGCTTTTTCAGAAATCATGCAGGTTGTTTCTTATTTGAGCCAATCAGAATGGGAGGACCAGGGACCAGAGTTACAAACAAGGGAACAAGTCGGATGGATAAATGCAAATCGTGTGTTGTCTCAAGCTGGTGGACACGAATGAACTACTTCAAGCCACTGTTGGGGGGAATTGGGTCTTCAGCTCATTTAATAGGGACTTTCAGCCTTTTTGGCCCCATTGGCCCCCCAAAATGGCCAGTTAGAACCGACCCCCTTGGTCCCCCTCCCTTTTTCAGGTTTCGCTTCAGGAAGGGTCAGGGCATTTCGTTCTCATCACAGTGGCTGCTTCATTTAATTTCCTCCGTGTCAAGTTCCTTCCTTTCAAAGGCTCGCCTTGGAAACAAATATCGACACACGTGCCTTGAAGCAATTCATGTGTCTCAAGATGAGGCTAAATCAGGGAAGCCCTCGGAATGGGCGGTTCCCCGTGGGTTTGGAACTGCCAATTTTAAAAACCGACCCAAGCACGAGATATACCACGCCTCAACACAAAAACGCGTGCTCAATGGTCACTTGCGTCATAACCTGGTATATACCAGAATCAGGGCGGATATTCGTACCTATACATGGCTCCTTTTTGTTGCTTTAAAGCGAAACCCAAAGACACAACCACATGTTTTTTGTTTTTGTTGTTGATAAAACAAAGGGGAAACCCCTTTTTTCGGGTGTCCCTGAAACAATCAAACGCTCTTATGCCTGGGACTGGCCCCTAAGCTTCCCCGTGTTTCGGCTAAGTTCCGCGCCACAGCTCCCGCGACACATCCGCGCCACGCCGGCCTGGAGTCGGGGAGTCGGGGAGAGCTGCTCTGGGTGCAGGGGTTCCTGTAAAGCCAAACAGAAACGGCGGTGGCTCAAAAAAGTGTACCCAAAATGGCCAAAACCTGGGTAGAGGCCAAAAAAACCTGCGTAACCCTGGCTCTTAAATTTTGAGCCACACCCAAACCAAGCTGCCGCCCCCAGTTTGACCAGTCAATTCGGTCCTTTATTCACAAAGTGAGGAGCAACTGGCCTGGGTTCACATTGTCAGTCCTGTTGATCCTGTTGAATGTGCCAGGGAAAGGTGAGAGCAATTGTGGCGAACCCCCTCCCCTTTGCACTGCCACTGCCACTGCCACACGGGCACAGATTCCTGCAAATCAGACTTGTGAAAAGCCAAAAGACTCTCTGGACTGATTCTCCACCCGCCATGTCTTATATCGGAGCAACCCTACGCCGGAGTATCGCATGCCCCGCAGGCGATTTTGATGAGGCCTGGCTTGGGAAACCACAAGGTGTCGACAACTAACTCTTACTCTTGGGGTTACTCTGGACACCTCACATTCTTCAAAGGAATTCCGCAGGTGCACCACTCAAGGAAACATCCTGTGGTCGAATGTAGTTTCTATCGTTTGAAGCTTGCAACTCACGATAAATGACGGGCATGGGCATGTGAATGAGATGGTATGGGACCCCGGTTCAGCCACGAATTGCTAGGAACTATGATTCTTCAAAGGGTTGCTGCGTCCTCCCACTAACATAGCACATATGGAGCAGGAAGGGTAAATCCAGCAATTACTGTGGCAGTGTAGGAGCCTTCTCTTGCTCCCGACTTTCTAGAACAACAGTGATGTACCATGGTTTGCGGTTGGTGTGCTTGCTTCAAATATAAATCCGTCAAGGCAGGCACTCCATGTTGGGATGGTTTTCGGTAATGGACACAAAGACGGGTTTCCCAAAAGGACGTGAGGTTGGGTGGCCCCCCCATAGACCGAAATTGAATGGGTACAATTCTAGGGGTTGAGTCCTTTTCCATTCTTTTCAACCATCGTTCTTTTCTTAAAAACCGGATCCGTTTCCCCGGGATTTTAAGATGGTTTCCTGAAAAGATTCGCATCCCTAGAAAGAATGGAAATGGAAGGTACCCGTAGAATAATGCGTTTGAGGACATATGGGGGCCGCGGAAAGAGGAGCCGATCGACTGCGAGATGAAAATGCCAGGGATCCGGCAAATGCCAGTGATCGACAGGTCTTCTTCCATGAGCACCTCCTGACAGGTGATGTGGCGGCACAAAGGCGGGACAGCGCGAAATCGAGGAGAAACAGAGTTGCCGCCAATGTTCAGACTCCCCCCGTCTTTTCTAGGATGTATTACAGCGCCAAGAATCACTCGGTTTTGGCTGAACAGGGGTTGTGCCCCTTGTCATTTCCTGGTGGGTGACCGCCGACCGCTTCTTTTTTTTTCCGGGGACAGAGCGGCCCACTCCGTCTGTCTTCGTGCTCGACCAGCAACGGAGTGGCATCCTCTTTCTTGGGGCTCCCATTATCCGAAACCACCACCCCCCCGGGAGAAAGCAAAGGCCTGGCGGCTGAACATGCCCCAAAACCACACTCTCTGAGTCGCAACCAGTGGATGTCCATGGGGGAAAAAGAATGGGCCTCCTTTTTGGGTTGGTTGAGTTTAAAGGAAAAAAGGAACCCTTCCCAAAACAACTTGGGAAAAAAAGGGCGGAATCCACTGAGCAACTGGGCAAAGGCTTGGCCCGAATGCAGTCACTCACGCTGAGCACGGCACGCCGATGCTGATATTCACCTGATATCCCACTCTCACGCTCTTGGTGTCTCTCTCTCTCTCTCTCGCTGTCTCTCGCTCTCTCTCTCTCTCTCTCTCTCTCTCTCTCTCTCTCTCTCTCTCCATTCCGTCTTATTTCTTTAGTTATTTACTTATTTCCTTGCTTCTCTCCTCTCTGTCTCTCTCCAACTGGGTCCATGAAGGAGCCAACCTCAAAAAAGCTTCTAAATGTTAGCTCGAGAAAGAAAAAAGAAGAAGAAGAAGAAAAAAAACATAAAACAAACATCCCCAAACCAATTTTGAGAACCCCTCAACATGCTCACTTTCAAGGCCTAGTCGGAAACAGCTGGGCTTCTGGAGTGGGGTGGGTTGCACGAATTTGCCATTTTGTTGACCCCTGAAGATGTTCCCAGGCTATGCCAATTCACTGCGAGACCGAAATCCTTGCTGGCCTTCTAGGATCACCATCAACTCCAAGGTGAGCTTCTAGGATAAGTGCCCTAAGGTGGGTTAAATGGACCACTAAACCCTAAAAACCTAAAAACATCCAAAAATCTGAAAACCTAAGGAGGGTTAAATGGAACCCCAACCACTAAACCCTAAAAACATCCAAAAATATGAAAACCTAAGGTGGGTTAAATTCGGACCCCCAACCACTAAACCAGCTAAAAACATCTAACCAATCTGAAAACCTAAGGTGGGTTAAATTCGGACCCCCCAACCACTAAACACCGAAAAAACATCTAAACATCTGAAAACCTAAGGTGGGTTAAATTTGGGTTAAATTAACCACTAAACACCGAAAAAAACATCTAAACATCTGAAAACCTAAGGTGGGTTAAATTCGGACACCCAACCACTAAACCAACTAAAAACATCTAAACAATCTGAACACCTAAGGTGGGTTAAATTCGGACACCCAACCACTAAACACCGGGGAAAAAAAAAAAACGAAAAAAAAAACATCTAAACATCTGAAACATATAATATAAGGTGGGTTAAATTCGGACACCCAACCACTAAACACCGAAACAACAATTAAACATCTGAAAACCTAAGGTGGGTTAAATTCGGACACCCAACCACTAAATTCGGACCCCCCAACCACTAAACACCACAAAAACATCTAAACATCTGAAAACCTAAGGTGAGTTAAATGGAACCCAACCACTAAACACCGAAAAAACATCTAAACATAACTCCAAGTGGGCCGTTTTGGGAAATTCCGCCACGCGCCAAGCGGCCCAAGCATCCGGAACGCGGAAGTTGAAGACAGGCAGCCACCTGCAGACTGCTCAGATACGTGTTTAGCCAATGACAAGATTCCCTCTTCAGTCATGGAAGTGGACAAAAGGGTTGAAGACCACCATCCTCTTGAAAAAGCCCTTCCAGGTCCTCCAGTAGAGAGATTAGAATACGGGTACCCTTTTTCTGTAGTCTATTTTAGTAGGGGAACCCGCCCAACCAAAAAGGGGGTGAGAGGTCGGGCACCCTTTCGCTGGGTCCCGGACCTAGGATTCCCTCTTCAGTGGACCGCAGGGTTGAAGATTACTCTTCTCTTGAAATAACCCTCAGCTTCCATGATCTTCCGTTTGGTTCAGGGCCCAGGCAAAAATACCAACATATTTGCAGCAGTGATGAGTTCCTTTCCTAAAACCAAGGAGGAAGAAAAAAAGAAAACATATTCTTCCGCAAATGGAGGTGATTGTTGCACGGGCACCTTAGATCCCCCGCTTTCGGGGTGGATGCCCTTGGGGGCTTGGGATCGAAGGCATCGCCAAATCGGCTCGGATCCAAATCCGATCCCCGCTCCGCGATCCGCGATCCCCAAGCTCTCGCCAAAAGGAAGCAACAAATCCGATGCAATCAAATGGCCGTACGGGTCACCAAAAGGAAGGCCAATCCAATGCAATCAAATGGCCACGGGCTTTTCAAAAGCCAAATCGTATCGTTAGCCCCCAGTGGTTACATCCGATTCAATCCAACCACTCAAATAGGAAGCCTAAAATGGGTGGTGAATTCACCTGACAACCAAAATGGCATCATTGGTTTTGAACCGCAGCCAAATTACTAAGGCACATGCCATGAACAGCGAAGGTTGATCAACTCGGAGGAGAGTGCTACGAGCAGCGAACGATATTTCTTGTAAGGAAACTGGACATTTTTTCTGTAGACTATTTTTGTAGGGGAGCCCTCACCAAAAAAAGGGTAAAGGGCACTACTGGGGGACCTAGATTCATTGAGGGAATTTCTGTCAGACACTTGTTCTGCTTAGAAACAAGATTATCCTTGGGTTGTCACCAAAAAATGCGCAACCTAGAGATTGTACGGCAAGGTGATTGATACTCCTTGTCCATTGCCAAAGAGACGCTTCTAAGTCAAACTCACCGGCTGAGTGGATGGCCCAAAAAAAGTCCAAACTTTATGGTTTTCACTAGAATGGTCTTCCCAAAAAGTCTAAAGTTCATGAACTCAGGAAGCGAGCAAAAGTTGCTTAAGGACCCTCCGAAAAAGGCCGTACTCCTTCTATAGCCTATGGCACAAGGGTTCAGCCCTCTGTACCCTTCAAGTCTGCCCTTCCCCTCCCCCCCCAGGGAAAAATATGATGGACACAAACATACACAAACCCCCTCTGAGTCGTCCTGGCCCCCTCCAGCCCTGGAAAATACCAGAATGCAAATTCACCTTCCTGATTTTTCCTGGTCCTCCACTGACCGTCAAAACTTCCTGGTACTTCTCTATTGCGACCCTATTGCCTGTAATTTTGAGAGCTGGACATCTGACTTCTTTTATGGAACCAGCTGGATTCGGACTGCGAAGTTGGCTGTCCGTTGCTTCTGCTGAGTTTTGCTTCTATGGAGGCAGGCTGTGGAACTTGAGCTTCTTGCTGCGTTACGTGCGAGGGTCGGAAGATATGCCCATTTGGCGGTGGGTTTAAAAACAACCGGCACCAAAATCAACCCTGGTAAGTGGGAACATGGACCAAAACTTGCGGTTGGCCCCTCCGATCGTTTATTTTTGAGCCACTGCCATTTCCAAGCGGCCGCTGTGGCTTCCCTTGAGGTGATGCGCCTGGTTCCAATGCAGCGGTCCAAGTCCTCTTTCCTCTTGAAGCCGCCTCGATTTCTCCCCGCGCGCCCAAGGAAGCGCGAAGTCAAAAGACCGGTGGAGTTCCAGCCTTTTCTAGGCTGGAATTGGGACCCCGGCATTTTTTCTGGTTTTGGCCTGGTTAGTGGGAACCAAGGGACCCCAAACAAGCAAGAAAAGCAAAAAGGGGAGCAATAAATTCTGGGGAAGCTTCTTGGTCGGTTGCGTTTAAAGGGAAACCTTGCCAAAAAAAGCTGAAAACAGGGGCGCCACTGAGCAACTGGGAAAACAATCCCTGAAGAAACTGACAATTGGAGAGGCCGCAAACCACCCGGCTTTCTATGTGAGGCGTCTATGCTTGACCCAATTGGATCCTTATGTCGGGCATAGGAAATTGTGATAGGTGTGTTTTTGAAAGTACGAATTGGTTCTATTCCAAATGATGAGTTCACATGTGGCAACCATCCAACCTCCAGAATTCACTCTTCCTACAATGACCTCTTCCTACTGCAACAGGGATCCTTACATTATACACCTGAACATTGCCTTGTAAATGGTGGTTTCAAATGGTGGAAAAAGCCATGTTTCAAATGGTTGCAAAATGGAGATCTTTGAAGGAGCCCTGTGCAATGACAACGAGTTTTCCTATAGGAAGTTCTCCATGTCCCGGGGACAATCCGACCACTTCAAAGTGTCAAATGACGTTCCTGGGACGACAAGCGTCAACGGGAGGCCATTGGGAACTAGGAGGCCCCGCAAAAGAAAGGTCATGGGGACGATTCCCACAAACCCGCGCCGCAAGGTGAGCGCGTACGATCTTCACTTGGCCTGGAACCGCAATACCTAGAACGTGTAAGGGTGAAACGCTGAATCATAGCCGCTAAAACGATGCTGCAACAGCCGAACCCGCTTTTCATCGGGAAATCTCTGCAATTGGAGGGTTAAGCAGATTCCAGGGATTTCTGTGCGATCCTTTTCGGGGCCACATCTAAACCATAACATGCCAAATATTAAATCGGCGCGGTTCTGCAACGCCCGCAAAGGCCTCGAGTTGGGTATGGCCCAAATATGACGTTTCTAAGGCTTACTGGGCAGCCCCTCTGAGAAAGTGAAGCGCTTGATTGACAATATTGAGAGGGGAGAGTCCCATGCACGGAGCCCTTCACTTTTGAAAGCTGCATCCATGTCCCTCAACGTGGACCCGGGATTCGTGCGAATCTCCTGGTTGGCTGCCTCCGCCGTGGTCGGGCGGATTTTTGTTGGGAGGTCAACTTGATGGGCCCAGCTGTAGCTGGGCGTCCGTGCAGAAGTTGCTCAAGCCCTTCTCGTGAGGCACCTGCCAAAAAACAATCGGCTTCCACCCAAAGAGGGCCGCAAAGGGCCCGAATGAAGGCGGATGACCGGCCCCCGGCCCCGGAACCCGGGGCCCTAAGAAGAGCCCGGACCAATTCCTCCGGTCCGGAAACAACCCATTTTCAGGGAAAATGCACACCTAGGGCGCTCGAGTTGTTTTCGCGCCAATCCAGTTTATATAACTGGGCCTGTGGAATGCGGAATTTCCGCGCCTCTCATTTTTTTCCTCACGAGCGGATGGGTTTCTCAAAAAGCCTTTCCAAAAAGAAGAAACCGAGGGGGTGAGAAGGCAGCTAGGCTGCGTATTCCATGGCCCTCCTGCGGGCTAGTAGCTAGCCGAGTTGGTGGCAGAAACTGCGCAAAGAGTACAAACTGAAAATCACACCCCAAAAAACTGCCTCAGCCTTTTCCCCCAGCTAAAAGCCGCAGTTTAAACCGTCTGGCAACCAGCTTTGGTGAACCAAATGGGTGTTTCCCAAAACAGGGGGGCCCTAGAAGTGGTGGGCTTTCCTTCACGCATGGCGGCGCTGAAACTGGAAACACACGGAATCCACCCGCATTTTGGTCCGGAAAGAGCGACCCTGTTGACACGATCCCGAAATGTCCATGGGAATTCATGTGGTTTCCCTTGGAGCCACGCCTCAAAAAGGGTACACACCAAACTAGGGGCCGGTGACTGACCATGAAGCCCCATGAAACCTGAGAACAAAGGGACTCCAGAAAGCTGCTGACCAGAAAAATCTATAAAAACCAAAGGGAGCGGTTCAGGCGCCGGCACCAAAAACCAACAAACACATCGCTGCCGTGATAAGCTTCTCGTTGCCTCACAATTCATCAAGGCCCCTTGAATCAGGGCTCCAATCCTAAAGGGAATCTGCAGAATCCGGTTGGGGGAACACCTCCCGCCGCCAGATTTCATGGGTTGACGTAAGGCGACTGTCTGCACATCGTCGCCCCTCATGCAATGTCTTGTGTTCCTCAGAGCTCGTCCTGTCACGTGAACACCCGTTTGGTGTTTTCGTCACAAAAGTGGAGGTTCCACTTCAGCAAGTCCGGCGCCATATTCACAACGGCACACTTCTCGTGGATGGCTGTGTGCTTCCACTGCTGTCGGCTCAGATTCGGACAGTGTGAGTCCCTGCTGGGGAAAGTAGTGGAAGACTCCGTCGGCAAGTGTCTCTTCCGTTATGGTCACACAAGCAAGTTACCTGTAACAAGACCATTGACCCTCCACAAAAGGAAGTGTTGTCCGCTTGACAGGTCGTGCTGCACCCTTATAAAGGTCGCACACGTTGTCGCGCTGAGCGACAAATGTCAGGTGGAAAAACATGGAATCATAGTGTCATTTTTCGGGAATATCAAAAGGCCTTACACAGGGGCACAGGGGGGGCATTGGGGTTGGACGGGGGGAGACGGGAAACTATGAAGGCCAAACGACATGGCAATCCTTTTTGGCACGGGCTTCGGCTTGTGGATATCTTCCCGACCGTTGGAATATGAGCGAAACATATTGCAAGCTGCAGTCCATCCACTGAAAACTAGAGATGAATAAAAAAACAATGAGCAACTAAGAGACCTTTCCCAAGAGCGGATACATAATCACTTCACTCTAGGACAATAGCATCTATTGATGGCAAACATCCGCGTAGTGAAACACACCAGCCAAGCAGATCACGAAAACTGATCCACCGCATCTCCAGAACGGAAAGGCTTTTTTGGTACACGTGAAGCAAAACCCACCCAACGTCAGCTAGCCATGTTAGCCGGGAGGACATGATATGGAAACCCCCCCCCACCCCGTTTTGGAGTCCGAGTTCACCAAACCCGGGGCTTGGCTTGCGCGGAGCCGCCTTCCGCCCCAGTGCTTTTCAAATATGGGTACGCTCTCCCCCAAATACACACCATACTGCTCTGTTTAGTTGGGGGAGCAGCCAACATGGTGGCTTCCCTCTAATTCGCCTCTAAATCCACCAACAAGGGTAGCACACACACGTTCAAAGCAATGAGGGGCAAGGTGGTCGATCGTGTCATGTCAGGGTCTGGGTCCCCAAACATGCCCCACGTCTATGCCTCTGCCAGGAATCAGCTCTATAAGGCAATACGGAACGTAGCTTCAAGCGGTGAAATCCGCCGACGCCAGTTGAGCGTGTAGATGGCAGTCCGCAACTTGGTCTTCCTTCATCTCTTATCAAAGCCGAAGGCTTTTGGGGCTGCATTTTTTTTGGCATGGTGTGTGCTGGGTGGCCAAAATCCTGTGATTTTCCAGTGTTTTTAGGGCGTGCGTGCTAGAAATCTGCGTTTCGCCTAGGTCTTAGGGGGGCGGGGGGGGGGGGGGGGGCCCCCCAGACACGCAGGATCTGCATCCCCAGCATCAGCAGGATTACCGTGCTGCCATGAATTTGTCTCTTGTTTTGCAGATACTAATGGTGTTTTGCTGTTTCAAGCGATGTTGGAATCGGCCTGTTAGGGGTCTGGGTGGGGCCAAGTGCAGTGATACGTTGAGGAACTGTTTGAATATCCCAAAATGAGTGTTTTTTTGCAATTCCCCAACTGTACGGAGCACTTACTGCGAAACATCGCCTGCATTATCGTGTTTTTGGAAGTCTATTTTTTAGTACAGTATTTGAGGGGGGTTGCTAGTATCTGCGTTTGATGCTTGATTTTGGGAAATATCAAAAACAAACGTTTTGTTTGGACTTCTTTGTGGCCAGCCGGCTGCATTCCCAGCATTCCCGGCATCTCTGGTATTTTCTGTGTTTAGTCAATTTTGCCTGTCTGAAAGTCTTGAGTTTTTGGATGCGAAGATTGGGTCTGTTCCTGGACGTTGCATCCCTTGCATTTCCAGCATCCTCAGCATCACTTCCATGAAAAAATGAAAAAGGTATTAAAATCCCCACTGGCGTCGGCGGATCGCGTAGCGATTTCAATAAGGTGGTTGGGGGGCCATTCCAACCACATAAACCGCCAGGGGTGAATTCGGTCGTGTGAGATCGTTCTCGCCCAGCTGGATTTTCCCGCCCGTTTTGTTGGTTTTTCGGGCTCCCTACGCCTTTTTTTTGGGTTCACAGCCCAAAACACGGGTCCTTTTGGGCGCCAAGGATCCGAGGCCCCCCGCGTCATCGCAGAACCCGAAGAGGAGCTGGGCCTTTGTAGTCACCTCGTCCTGGCGTCAGAGGCCGCTCCCGTCGGGTGGGGTGGGGGGAATCGGTCCCTTTGCCGAGTGGGGGGGGAAATGCAAATGGAAGATGAAGGGACCTCCCACCCCCCACCCAACATGGTTGTTGTTGGGAAACATCTTACATTTTTACTCATTGTGGTTTAGTGGAAAATCCAACCACTGAACTGCTGAAATTTTCAATTTGTTGCTCCCCTTCCAACGTCAACAAAGCCAAAGGGACCCCCCCCAACCTTTGGTTGATGAACATGGGGTGTGTGTTGTCTTGTGGGAATCCTTCACATGAACGGACCTCCCCACCCCCCCCCCCCCCCCGCGTGTATTTGTTATTTTTGTGAAGGGACCCCCCCCAATCGATTCCCTTTAAAACAAATAACCAATGGGGGAACATACAATAATAGTCTTGAGCAAATGAAAGTAATGTGAAGGATTCCCACAAAAAGAACACACACACACACACCATGTTCATCGATTCATCAACCAAAGGTTGATAGATTTGAGGTTCCCATGTTTTACATAAGAACATGTGACATGATGTCAGAGAATAATATGTTTGCTGGTTTCCACTTGCCACAAGCAGGTTAATCTACTGTACTGAAAGACAACAGCCGACAGGGGGAGCCATGCGGTTCGAGTCGTTGCACGTGTCCTGCTCCACGTCCACTGTGACGATGCCTCAGAGGCTGGCCAACAGAGTGGACACGTTGCCCACACAAGACGGGGACAGAAAACAACATCAGATTTCCGTTTCATATTCAGTGCCTCAAAAATAAAATCATGGAGGCCGCAGTTCCATACAGACACCTATTACCAACGTTGACACCTAGGGGTGGGGGTCTCGGTTGATTGGTGATGCCTTGCTTCCAAACAAAAGCTCCATCGTTTGTTCATTTCGGGGCTGGTCCAAAAATACAGATCTTCCACACAAACAAGAGCATCCGAAGGCCAAAACTCAGCGAACAAAGACAAGTCAGCTGGAAGTTCTGACTGGATATGTCAAACTTTGCATCCCTCAAGGCAGTAGAGGGGCGAAAAAGCCTCCCTTGGGCGTGGGTCAAACATAGGCATCGAACATGGAACCCTGGTAAATGGAAACAAGGACTAAACTGGGTGAATTATAATATTTCACCAGCCTGAAACTTGCGGTGGTTGAGGTCGTTATCATTCACCCAGTTGGATTTTCCCTACGTCCTTTTTGTTGGTTCTTAAGGTTCCCTACACCTTTAGCTTGGGTTCACAGCCAAAAAAACGGGTCCTTTTGGGCGCCAAGGACCCTGAAATGGAAACAAGGACTAAACCATCGAAAACCTGCGGTCCAATTCCTAGCGATTTCATGTTGATGCATACCTTAATTCTACAAATGGCCGTGGCCTTCGGCCTCCCGGTACTCCCGCGGTAAAACGACATTCGTCCTGAGATTCCCCGAGGCTTGGCTTGGGAAATGCGAGAAAGGCTCCAATGTTGCTTCCTATTGTGAGACACACGGATTTCCCACTCCGTCATTGGGCAACCTCTCGGGGAAAGGCTTCAAGCATACCTCCACGGCCTTTCCATAGATATGCTTGACATAGCCCCTTAGAGGATGACCCTGATTTGGATGTCGACTTTGGATTGCGGAGGACCCTGCCAAAGAAATCCCGTGACGAAATACATGATTCCCACTAGAAGTGGAAACACCCCAGACCAGTTCTTGTCATATTAGCTAGCAACTTTGTTCTTTGCAGCCTCACCAAAACTGAAGTGAACCAACCACACATCAAGAAGTCAACAATTCGAAACAAGCTCCAAAAACGGACGGGCCACCCAGGAATTGTTGGTTTATGTTTGTTTGATGGAAGACCTTTGGACCCCATCGGACACCTCGAGGGTCGGCCGGTCAGGCGCTGGGCTTTCCGGCCAAAGGCGGAGGCCTGGGGGAACAAGTTCCTGGCGACGTGGAGCTGACAGAAAATTCACATCCCAATTCCTGGTGACAGAAAATTCACGTGGAGCTGGCGACGTGGAGCTGGTTACCTTCAGAGCAAGGGGGGTGGGGGGTCCCCAATTCCATTTGTCTAGTCCCCTTGAAAGGGAAAATGGGACCCAATGGAATTCCCGGTGACAGAAACTTCACCAAACGGCCCCGACGGCGTTTTTAGATTGGATTTAAGAGAAGGGGTACCCTCCCACCAGCTAACATGGAAGTGCGCAGACCCCTGTAGAAAGACTACTTTCCTCTTGGAAAGGGCCTTTTTGCACTTCCATGTTAGTTGGTGGGAGGGTACCTTCCATTGAGAGACACCAAACCAAGTTGGCTGCCCGAGATGTTGTTGCGCTAATTTAAATAGGAGTCCAAGCCATCACAATGTTGATTCTAGGGGTTCCCCATTCTTTTCAGCTATCGTTATTTTCAGAAACCAGCCCTTTCCCCAGGGTTTTTGGTGGTTTTCTAGAAAGAAGGATCCCTGGAAAGAATGGGGAAGTTACCCCTAGAATGATCAACACTCCATCTATGTCCAGCAAAAGCAGTCGGGTCCTGAAGAAAGCAGGGTTTTCTATGTATCTTGGCTAAATATCAACCCAACACAAAGGAAACTCAAAACTGAGCTGTCCGTTTTCGGATCCCCCGCTAAAAGTGACTAACTTTTAGTGGGCTAAATTCGGAAAACCAACCACTAAACACTAAAAAGATTTTTTTTAAAAAAAGCTAAGGAACCGGATGGCTGGCTTCGCCACCAAGAAAATAAAAATGGCCCAAAACGTGAGCCGGTGGCCAGGGCTGGTTGCAAGGGTTGGTCGTATGACAGCATATTTCTGGCAAAGCTTTATCTCGAAAAGGGGGATGGTGAAAAGTGACAATGGGCTTGTCTCAAAGGGAACCCTGAAAAATAATGTTCATGTCTGTTTCGGTTTCCCTTCTAACCAACCCAAACAAGAGGGTACCCTCCAAGAAGACACATCCCTGTGATGCTTGATCCCCACGTTGCTACTTTGAAGGTTCCCGCCGGTCCCAAATCCTCAGCGAACTTCCTCAGGGAAGAAGAACATCAGCACTCTTTGGATGGTTGATTTAAAGGGCACGCCTCCCCCCCCCCCAAACAAAAAAACAGGAAGTCTTTGTTTGGTTGCGGGCACCGTCTCGCCCCCCTCCCCCCCCAAAAAAAAGGAAGAGCAGGCGCCCCTGGAGGTCTGAGGCGGTCTCAGACAGAGCTGGTCACCTTCAAAAGTTGAGCCAACGAAACCGGTGTCCATTGAGTCCATTGAACTGCTCCTCCACTTTTGCAGCTTCCCTTAGGAACATGGCGACGGACACCCCTGGGGCCCGTCAGTTGCCTTGACTTGCTCGGAAAGGGAAACCCGCCACAAAAAGGTGGACCCCGTTGGAAAAAAGCAGGGCGGCATCTTGCGGATTGTGTTTATGAGTTGCTCCAATCAGAGAACACAGGAAGCTTGGCCCATCCCCATTCGCCACCACCAAGTTGGGTCCGAAGCCAATGCGCCGGGCAAACGGCATGCGAGAGGCGCGGTAGCAGGCCTCAGATCTTCAGATTTTCCCGGACCGACCGCGGAAATCTAAAGCCTGGGGCTGAAGCTGCCCAAAGGACGGAAAAACAAAAGCTTAACCTGTTGGGGCCATGACTAGGTCCTCCAGTAGAGAGGCTAGAATAAGGCTACCGATTTGTGCTTGCATTTTTCGGTGGTCTATTTTAATTAGTAGGGGAACCCTCCAAAAAAGGGGTAAAAGGGCACTACTAAGGGACCTAGTTAACCTTTTGGGGGGCCATGTACATGGAATCCACCAGAGGGTCAATTTTAAAGGAAAGTTGTCTTCCAGAAACCCGGAAACGTCAGGGTCCATGTTAGTGGACAGGAGGGTAACCTCTTGGGGCCATGACTTAAAATTGACGAAAATACGGGGAAAACTCAAAGGTCAGATGCGGTCGATTCGGTTTGGGCCTGCGAGTAAAAGGGTCTCCCAATCTCCCAAATCAAGAGCATCTGCGGATGGGCCGGGGGTCAAGAGACCCTCCGGTAAAATCTGATAAGGCAACTCACTTCCCAAGAGGATGAGGGAAACACCCATCCACATTTTTGTTTGCCTCTAAAATTTGGTCCAAACCCAACACTTAGCTAAAGTTCAGGATCTCAGGGAGTGCGTGAGGCAAACTGCCTACAAACAATGCAACCGACAGACAACTCCACAGGGACGCCTTTGCAGTTCTGCTCCATAGCGCTTGAACACCAGAACGACACAGGGCGGTACAGGCTGGGGTTGTGCTTAAAGCAGGAAGCCACAGCAGGGATCCCTACATTATACACCTGAACATTGCAACTTGTAAATGGTGGTTTCCCTTTATTCTGGTGTTGAAAAAGCAACATGTTTCAAATGGTTGCAACATGGAGATCTTTCAAGGAGCCCTGCACAGAGTCCCCCCCATTTAGACACTCCTCCAGGGACTGTGGGCCTTAGCTTTTGATGAGGCTCTACTTGGGTGACAGGTGGGTTGATGTGTTGGCAATGCAAAAGCATGAAAATCTGCACTGATTTGTGTGCGTGCCTGCTTTTTGAGGGTACCCTTGGCGGGTGGCTAGAAAGAAACCATTGGGAACCCCACCATTTTGGGGGTCTTTGTTTACCCCCCTGGTCGCTATGCATGCTATAACTCTGTAGCAGGATGCAACTATCCAACACGGCCGGGTTTGTTTCAACTGTTGGTTTCCCAATGAGGGAACTCTGTCTCTGCTTGTTCTTTGTGAAGCGTTGTTGAATCGAAAGAAAAACGCAAAGGGGCAACAACTGTTTTGGGTGTGATATAATGGAAAATGCGGGCAAATGAAGGGACAATGAGCCATTCGTGGCGTTTGTGCATGCCCCTATGTCCAAACAAACCCAAGTTGCATTGGGGCCCCCCCTTTGAAAAAAGGCAAGTTCCAGAACTTCCCCAATGGACCTGCACCCGAAGCAAACTGTTTTTTGGGGAGTGTCCCCCAATTTGACCTTGGAACTTCAATGAGACATGGGGTGCGTCTGTCTTTCGGCTACCCCTGATTATGTGGTCTTAAAAATAAAGCCACCGGAAAATCGCAAAAAAATGGTGGGGTCCCGCCCAAAAAAGATTCCAAACGGACACACCCAGCCTCCCGACGGACGCTGGATCGCATACGGCTCGAGCCGAGTTCCGGGCACGTGAGGCGCAGGACATCGCCCCCGATTGCTCCGGGCCCAGGAAGTGCAGAATCTCGGTCGGCGCTAGAAAGCGCGGCGAGCGGCGAGCGAAAGCGGGGGAGGTTTGGGCGCGGGGGTTTTGACGGGGGGGGTGGGGGGGGGTGGGGGAGGATGGCGGCGGACAAGCACTCGTTGAGCAGAGGTTTCGTAAGCAGCAGGGGTTTCCCACAAACAAACAGGCGGAGTTGCTTCATTTTTTGGAGAGGAAGCGTGGGCATTCTGAAGCTAAGGGCAAGGCCTTACCCTCTGAGCGCGGGAGCGTCGAACGCTGGCACGGCAAAGGTACCGCTTGATAACACGGCAACCAAAGGTGATGCTTAATAAAGTCTTTGTCATTCTGCCATGAAGCTTTGCTCGAGACCTCTACAACAAACGGCAAACCAGCAGACCAACAAAAATGAAACACGTCACATGGTTAGGAGTCGTAATAAGGCATCACATCAAAAGTGGTGGATATGAATCCCCGGATGTCCATCCAAAAGTCATGCCCTGCTGTCTCAATTTAGACTGAGGGAGCCCTTGAGAGCAAAAAACACAGGTGAATCTCAAAAAAGGACACTGGTCCATTTTTTTCACCACCAGGAATTGGACCGCAGGTTAACTCGTCCTTGGTTTCCTTTACCAGGGCAAGCAATCTTGGGTACCTGTTTTGGACCCACAGCCACATGGACCCTGCCTGAAAACGGCAACATGTTCTTTTCCCTTTTCGAACCCAAAAGGGTTGTCTCTTTGACAAGGAACCACTCATGTTCAAAGGTTCCTGTGGGTTTCCCTTCCGACCGCAAAAAGGGTTGGAATAAAACCACCTTTCAGACCCCAGTCGAAAGAATATGGCTTGACCAGACCCCTGCAACAAGGCAACCGTTCGCCAGTCTGAAATGAAAGGGAAAACAAAGGACCCCCAAAAGTGCAAGAAAGCGAAAAGGATGGCAACGTTCAAAGGCCTCAAAGCATGGTCCACCTGAAAGATTTGATCTGGTTGGCTTCCCTTTGAACCAACTGGCAGGTTCCGAAAGCTCCCAGTCAAGCTGTCAAGCCTTTCGTTGCGGCTTCGGAGGCTCCCACGTGCCTTGAGATTTCGCTCCCCCATTGAGAGACCATCGCCACGTTCGGCACGTTAACCGTCCCATGGCGTTCGGAAACTCGTGAAACCGCCCTGCGTCCGGTCGGCGATCGCCACTTCGGGAGCTTCCCCCCAAAAAATATCGGTCCGTTCATGGATCGTTTTGCTCTTGGTTCTTCCATCGAAGCGATCGCCACTTTGGGGCGGCAAAGGGAGGAACCCCTGGAGGTACGTCTGCCTGGAACCCCAAGTATACTCTTTTTTCCAGCCACCTTACCCATTAGAGGCCCATAATGTGGCAAACGTCGCTAAACAAATTCAGGGCACCTGGGGATCTATAGGTGGCCTTCTTCCCTCCCACCCGGCGCCCTTTTCGCCCGGACGTTCCGAAGCGCTCGGAGCCGCCGGTTCCGAAGCGGTCGGGAGGCTTGGGCGGCCCCGCGAAGACCTTGGCGAACTCAAAGGCGGAGGTGCCTCAGAACCCGAGCGCGGCCGAGCGAGCGAGAGGAGCAGAAACCGTAGGAAGGGCGCCCGCTGGTTGGGGTTGGTGAAAACGAAAAGCAAAGCAGGAGAACCGGGAAAAAAATGTGTTGTTGGGGTTGGTCTTGAAGCTGGAAAACCAACAGGAAAGAACTGGAAAAGAAAAGAAAGACGCTTTCTTTTTTTTTTGGGGGGGGGCATCCCAAAAAGATGAAACAAATACCCAATCTCTTGGCCATCCCACAAAAATGCTCCGACGATGTCTGTTTTGCCGGCTCTCCAAAATGCCCGTTCTCTTCACTCGTCGTAGCCCTTAGAAGGGGGAAGGCACGGCTAGACCAGTACTCTGGGTGAATTATAATATTTCACCAACCTGAAACTGCGGTGGTTGGGGGCTGAGGTCGTGTGAGGTCGTTCTAATTCACCCATACTATAACATGATTTTGGACGAGACCCCGGTGCATCAGGGATGCGCGCGGGCGAATCTACGGATCCCTGCTAATTTCAAGGAGACAGCCCCTAGTCCATCAGGCAGGGGAGCAAAAAATTAAACTTTAGCAGTTCAGTGGTTGGATTCCCACCACTAAACCACAAAAAGCGGGAAACAAATGCAAAATGTTTCCCAACGACAACCCTGGAACACCGTTTCACCAACGTGGAACCCACCAAAGAACTGGTCCCTAATAGAAAAAGTCATCTTCCCTAGGGGAACAAACACCTCGAACTTCGCCATGGTCAACGGATCCGAGAGCCTGCCGAGGTCGCTGCTTTCCTCCGGCTCCTTGTCCCCCAGCTCTTCGGTCTTGTAGTCCCCCTCAGCTTGATTTGCTGGAGCTTCGTTTTGTTGGGGATTTGAAAGAAAAAACTGCCTACGTTGGAGAGCCCCTTTTTTTTTAAAGAAGCCGGACGCTGAACATGTGACCCTCCTACAAATGAACATTGGGTTACCCCAAACACCACCATTTATGGAGGACTAATCAACTTTCCTATCTTCAATCTAATTTTCTTTCCTTAACATCTCCATCTCTTCACTGTAACCTGACTAGAATCATCCATTCAAGTAATTACTAACAGATTCTCATGGCCAGGAAGGAATCTTCATCCATCATTATTTCCATCTCTTAGCCATATCTTGTCTTGCCTGTCTCCTGTAGAATCCTATCTTTGATGGTCAACCTTCGGAATCTTCATTCATTTCCTATCACCATTCCATCCTTACAAACCTACCAATCAAGGATTTCTTCTAAACAATGCAAATAATTGGATGGAATGGAAATGGATCTCTTTTATCTTTTCCTTTTTGTTTGGTTATTAATATGAAATAGTTCCAGAGGTTAATGATGGATCTCTTATCACATTATCTTTATCTTCTTTGGTTGTTTGATGGGTTAAAAGATTTCTTCATAATGCTGTTCATCTTAAAATTGCTTTCCTGTGTCTTTCTTATCCTCAATTACAGACCGCTTCCGGATGAATCCTCTATCCCACTCTTCACTCTATCCTTTCATCTGTCTATCATTCACATCTTAAACATATTTGACAAAGAAAAAGACAAGCAACCAAAAATAAAGGGTTCTAACACAAAGTGAACCAGATAAGGATGGATTCATATTAATTGTTCCTTTTCCTTTTTACCTCTTCTTCCGGATCCTTCTTACAAGCCTTTACTTTAGGATCCGAAGAACCATTCCATCTTTCCCAACATCTCCATCCTAATATTTGGATAGGTTCTGGGGTTTACGGTAATAATCATAAGATGGAGATGGAATTAATTGGGTTTCCTTCTACCTCTCCCACCTAATAATCTCTGTGACACGTGGGAGAGGGTGGATCTCTTTCTCTCTCTTCTTCATCCTCAATTCCCTCTCTTTCTGGTGTCTTCATCGACACACAGCGGCTGGACCAGACGGTGAGTGAAGATAAAGAAGGAAATGGAATGGGAAAGGAAAACATGAAAGAAGAAACCAAATAAGAAGACAAATATCCTTTCCTTCCCATTCATTCACTTGTCACCCAACCTCTGTTTCCAAGTTCATTCATTCCCTTCTATTCCTTCTCCTTGACTCGTCCTCAGGTCTAACTGGTGGGCGAGAGGAAAGGAGGAAGGATGATGGACAAGTGATAGGAATAGCCTGTGAACGAAGAATCCTAAAGAAGACTGCCAATGGATAATTCTTCTCTCCAATCCTTTTGGGAAATGGACCCCCTTTTGGGTTCCATGCTGAAATTGTAGGGCAGAAATGAGTCGGACAACCAGAACCTGGCAGACACAGGCCAAGAGGCCTCTCTTTTGTTGGTTGAACAAGTCTTGAAGGTGCTTCACCGCCGAAAGCGGAAGGGCTTGTGTCAAAATAAGGGGACCCCCCGGTTTTGGGTTGTGTCCTTTTTAGTTTCACTTGAAATCCAATCCGAAACCAGGTGCCTCCATTTAACACAAAAAAAAGTAATAAAAACGAATATAGGCTATGATCGTGTTTTCGGGAACCACTTCAAAAGCATTGCTGGTTTTCGAGAAAAGTGAGTGCTGGACATACAGTTCAACCCCACCATCCACCAAAGGGTCCTTTGGGACGTGAAACATCCCACCCCAAAACCCATCCGGTCCATGGGTCTGCCAACCCGAAAACGTGAGCCCCGCCGGCGCGCCGGGGCCCCGGGGCTCCGCGCATCGTTGAACTCGGAGCTCAAGGCTTTGCCCAAGGCGTTGGACCTGCCGGGCGCTCAGCGGAAAAAAAAACTGGCGGCTGCGAGAGGTGGGGACTGATCAAGGAATTCCCGAAGTGAAATCGATTCCCTGCAAAACCAATTAACAGGGCATGTGTTATTTTTTCCAAAATAGTAGGGACTGATCCTTCCGGGTGTTGGGAGTGAACCGGTTTTGGATGGATTCCCGCATGGGTGTTAGGGGTACCTTCCATGTCCATTCTTTCCAGGGATCCGGGAAAACTTGCTGCTGCGATAGGTAGGGAACCTCCATTTGCGGTCTCGTCCCCTGGGAAAACTAAAATTCCAGTAGTGAAATCGATTCCGTCTAAAAGCCAACAGGGGAAAATAAAAACATATTCTTAACCAAATGGTAGGGAATGATCCTTCCGGGTGTTGGGAATGAACCGGTTTTGATGGATTCCCGAATAAAGGAAACCAAATCGAGGATGGCGTTTATAGGGGTCCTTCTCTCGTTGCCTGCTTAGAACCAGCAAGAAAACACGGATCTCAAAACTTGTCTGCTTGAGGGCTTGCTAAATAAATAGAAGCAAATCGGATCTGAGTTGATGTCACTTTGAGGGAAGAACGACAGTCACTCGCATCATTATGTTCATTGTGTGAGAGGATTATTGGCAAAATGATTAAAACCTGAAAGCAGGAATCTCAGCAATTTTTCGGCTACGACCAAGACAGCCCTTAAAGGAATTGCATCTGTTTGGGCACCATATATCTTCTGGAACAGGGTTCATGGTTCATAGGCTCGGTTGCATTTTTGGACCCAGCCTGCTGGATGATTCAACCTGTGCAAACAGTTTGACTGGTTGCTGTGTCGTGGGGGAGAAAACAACAAAGAAAGCATTGTTTGAAGTCCGGAAATAAATCCATCCATGGTATGACCCCCTGATCCAGGAGTTTGACTTGTTGCAGGTAAGTGGGAAAAGACCTCGTTGTCCCAAAACATGAAAGTCTAACCAACTAGGTCCTCCAGTAGAGAGGTTAGAATACGGGTACCCATTTTTTCTGTAGTCTATTTTAGTGGGGGAACCCTCCCTAAAAAAGGGTAAAAGGGAACTACTGGGAGACCTAGCCAAACAGGATTTGTCGCAGGTTAGTGGAAAATGGTCGTTGTCCCAAAGCACGAAAGTCTCAAGATCCAACCAAACAGCCAAGCCTGTACTTGCGGCGCCGGCCGGGCAGGTCCAAGGTGTAGACCATCTTGAAGCCAGCGCCTAGCAGTCGTAGCTCGTGCTTTCGGGCCACCCGGCGTTTGTTTGGGGACCCTCTGATGGACATCCAGCTGGGGTTTCATGTCCATCCAACATTTGAGAGGGTCTTCTAAACCAAAAAGTCACACGCAAATCTTCTCCCCCCAACCAAAAACTGGACATCCAGCTGTGGTTTTATGGCATTTGACAGGGTATTCCCCACCAAAATTCATAGCCAAATCTTCTCCCCCCCAACAAAAATACCACTCCTGATCTCCCCGTCCAGCACAGACCAACGTTGTGGCCAGATTCTGGGGCTCCAACCCACGCACCACTGCCCAAAGAGCGACTTGGCGCGCAGCATCGCGAAGTTTCGGACCTCGAGACATGGATGTTTCCGCTTACCAGGGCAAGCCATTTTGGAATTCCGGTTTTTTGAGCCACAGCCACATGGGTGTTTCATTGAAGGGTCGATTCGCTTTCCCTCGTGTCTCCGATGCGAAACGTTCCTTGTGCATCCGTGTGGGCTCTGGTGGATGTTTCTTGGGTGACCATATCCCCCCTAGATGCCCTGCAACATGCCGGCGTATGAAGGTTCTATTTACAGGGGGCACGCAAACTGGACCGGTTACCAAACTACTCCCAGCGCATTTTGAAGGATTCCCTTGTAAAGGTATGTGGCGTTGAATTAGTGTCCCGAGGCTTCCCTTGCCAAAGAACAATACTCAAACCAAGTACGCGAAGCCGAGCGGCATCATGATTTTACCCTTCTCAAAGTCACTTTACCCCCGGAAACCGTCCAAAATGATGGCATTTTACTTTTCACCCCTAAGTTGTAAGGCACACCACCAACCAGTTTCTGACTTTACCCCCGGGGTGTCCGTCCAAATCATGGCTGATCTGTCGGGAAAAACAAACTGTGCGAATTTTGCGCCTCTGCCTCCTTCGCCATCCCAAGCACTTCCCCCCCCCCACAATGTCAAGGCTTCTTTTCGGCCCCCAAGAAGTTTTCCCAGGGTTCTCAGTCGAAAGCTGCGAGAATCTGTTGGACGGCTTCGTGTCAAATGGCGGGTCAAGAATCGGGCAACCCCAAAATGGCTTGCCCGATCGGTAAATGGAAACATGGACGGACCAAAACCTGCGGTCCAATTCCTGGTGGTGATAAAAGAATGACCCATACCCAGACCCAAATAGTTTCATTGCTCCAAATGGTCCAATTCCTTGACCCATACCCAGCTAGTTTCCCGTGAACATCATCCAAGAGCTCAAAGAAGGACACATGTACTCGGTTGCTTTCTGCCCTGCTAAAAGCGAATAACTCTTCGTGGCTTAGTACGGGAAAACCCAAACTCGTTGGCAAAAAGTGCTCAAGTCCCAACAGCCCAGCAGCAAAATGCGAAGTGTAGATCCCAGGCTATGGGATCCGGTCCAATGAACTCACCGGCGCAAGGCGCAAGGCGCAAAAGGCGAGGCGAGGGCCGCGCCGAGAGCGATCGAGCACCCTTTTTCTTTCCCGGACGGATCTTTGGTTCGTCGCAAACTCGCTGGAAAACCCTGAAAAAACCATGGAAAAAAAACCTGAAAAAAACTGAAAAACCCTGAAACAACCTGGTGAATCCATCTGAAACCCTGAAAAACACTTCGAATGCCAGGTCTTCAAACTTCGAATGGGTCTTCAAACCTCGAAATGTTCCACCAGGTTTCTTCAGGCTCTCAACTGATTTTCTCCAACCAGTTCCTTGCAACCCCCCAAAAAAAATCCGCCGTCTGAGTCGCGCGGCTCGGGTCTCACGGTGTCTCCTGACCTTTGAGCCATCGGGCGTAGAGAAAACTTTGTACAGTCCTAGGTCTCCAGTGGGCGAGCGCTCCGGTTGTTTTTTTTGCTGCCGGAAAGGCCCCTCAACAAATCGGTTCGTTTTTATGTTTGTTTGTTGCTTTTTCTTTCTTTTTCATTCCTTTTTTACAAAGCCCCCTACACAAAAAGCAACACCATCAAAAAAGACAGGCACCACTCTGGAGTCTGGAGGTCTAACTCGTGGCTCCTCTCATTTGGGGCACTCGATGATGTCGTGGCTGCGGCTGAAGAATTCCCGAGTGTAGCCTTCGATTCGCCCCGAACAACTCGACCAGATCTACTTGGTCGTCCCGGTCTGAAGCCCAGAGCTCCTTTTTGTGGGCCGGTTGATGTGGAAGGAACATCTCATATGTTTTTGCGCGGGATGTTTTGGTAAGTGATTTCCTTGAACTGGAAAAACAAGACACAAATCCTTGAACCAGAGAAACAGGACAAGAAAGCAGACATGTCAAAGGTTGTTGTAATTCAGACAACGCAAAACCTTGGCACGCCCAGAAAACCACCCACGGGTCAAATAATGTCTGTGAACCCCGGATTTAAGTGTGGATTCATGAAGGGGTGTTTCCCCGCATAAACGCAAAGGAAAGCCCTCTATGGAGCACCCATTGATCATTGAGGAGCATCCTGGGTTGCCACCTTCTGCAAATGTGCATGCTTTGCCACAAAAAGTCGACGGGGCCAGCGCATAGCTCTTCGCAAAAGCCTCCATGCCGTGGAAGTAAATGTCCCACTTCATGAGTGGATGGGCCAAAAAAAAGCTCCGAACCTTTTGTTTACCACTCATGTAAAATGGTCAAAAATGCGTACCCAAATGAAACCCTGGTAAAGGGAACCAAAGACTAAAACCTGCGGTCGAATTCCTGGTTGTATTTTGACCCATACCCATATGGCCTTCCCGAAAAGTATGTCCAGGAACTCAGGAAGTGAGATGTAGAACGCTTTTCGAAGCAATCTTGCGGCTCAACTCCCGAGCCGTTCATCGCAAAGGCCAACTGCCACGGCCCTTGGCCCTACATCCCAATTGGACATTTTCGGGACCCCGCAAACAGACCGCCAAGGGCAAGGTCTGAGGCGAAACAATTTTGACGCATATGAACCACGCCCAACAAAACCATGGTAACTAGGTCCTCCAGTAGAGAGGTTAGAATAAGGGTACCCTCTTTTCTGTAGTCTATTTTAGTAGGGGGAACCCTCCCCAAAAAAAGGGTAAAAGAGCGCTACTGGGGGACCTAGGCAATATAAATGATGTCCAAAGGGTTCTTTTGGACCCCAAAAAAGTTCCTATCCACATGAAAAAGCGCCAAAGGTCGAGCCGCCGGAGCCGGAGTTATCATGGAGCACCTCGTTGAAGGTGCAGTTCTGGCGACGGAACAGGCTGGGAAAAACCCGCCTTGTGTTGGTTTCTCTTCTTTGAGCCGAGCTGATACCCTCCCCACAAAGAAGATGCCTGGAAGGTACCTGGAAAGATGATCCTGAAAGGGCCCAAATTGGTGGCTTGGGATCTGGATTCGAACCCCTTCTGGTAAAGGAAATGGGAAACCGGCCCCTGACCGCCTTGAATCCAAAGCAAACCAGGGAAGCTGAGCTAAGCCAGGCTGATAAGCTTGTCCCGGCCCTTGCCAGTAGGGTTCAATTGGCCCGAATAAAATTCGACGCAAGCCATTCCCCAATCTTCCATTTGCTTAAGCCCTGGAGAAAAAAGAAAAAACATATTTCCAGTAGTGCTGGATTCCCTTTAAAACCAACAAGGGAAAATACAATATATTCATTTCAGCAACTGGAAGCAATAGATCCTTATCTTCGTGGCGGTTCAGTGGACCTCCTTACCAATTCCGAGAAACGCCCCGCACTTCCGTGGCGGAAGCTGGTCGCAACGATTCCTTTGTGCACCCATGGAAGACCCATGTGAGCTGTGGGCCAACCTCAAGTGGCCGTGGGGGAAAACACAACTCAATATGGCTTCTTTCCCCATGGCCACTTGGTTCCCCATGGGTTTTTTGAAAAAGGGCTTCTCTGTTTGTTTGTTTTTTCAAGAGGGGAGGGGTACCACGCTGAAAACAACAGCTTTCCATGCCTAGGTCATCCAGTAGAGAGGATAGAATAAGGGTACCCTTTTTTCTGTGGCTTATTTTAGTCGGGGCACCCTCCCCCAAAAAAGGGTAAAAGGGCACTACTGGGGGACCTAGATACCATGACAGAATTTGCTCCTACCGCGACTGGTTGTTTCTTTTCAAAGCCTCGTCCCACTGAAACAGGGGGCACCGGAGGTCACATGCGCGTTTCCTCAGCAAATCGGCCCCCGGGTGTTTGCAGGACAATCACGTGGCAAAGGCCATCCCTGTGAGTGAATTCTCGGCAAAGCACGGCTCAACTCACTTGCGATCGAGTGGACTGGCCAACAGCGTAACCACACTTTGTGTGTGCGCTACTAAAATGGCTCAACCCACAAAGTGACTCAGCATCCAGGAGCACAAGAGTGAGTCAACCGAAAACGAAAAAACACAAACCACACGGCCACACTCTCATGGTCTGGGACTTCGCGAGGTAGTTAGAAACCCTAGCTTGCAAACTCCTGACCAAAGCGCAACCACAAAAAAACGCACTAACACGAAAACACCCGCCCGACCTCACCAAGGAAGTGAAGCATCTGGTTGAACAAATCCTTGGTTGGCAGTCGCCGGCAAGCAACATGTGCGCGCGCATTTTCAGTCAGGGAGAGTTTTGCCGGAAAAAGTGCGGAGTGCCGGCAAACGAGCACACCAAAAGGCGCTGCGATCAATAAACTATTCTGGCACCCACCAACTATGCATGGAGCTCCTTTTGCCCTCGAATCAATGAGCTTGTTATGATTTGTGACTAAGAGGATGATCCACCCCTCAGGGCAAGTAAATCACAGTAAGGAGTTTTTCAGTACAAGTAAGGGGCGTCAGTTTGCCCCTCAGTGAGCTCGCTCAAACAAAAGTCCAGATCCCTGGAATCTGGAAGAACCTGGCTCCGTAAAGAGATATGGTGTCTCAAAATAGAGACAAGGACCCAAAGAATTGGTTTCCCTTCAACACCAAAAATGACACACCCATATGGTGGGTAGGGCAAGCCTTGCGCTGGACTGTTGTTTGAGCCACCGAGTCCAGTCGAATTCCCGAAAGCATCGCGAAGGGTTCTTCCGTGCGGAGCCCTTGGACAAGTTACATAGAGCCAAGTTACATAGAGCCAAGTTACATAGAGCCAAGTTACATAGAGCCAAGTTACATAGAGCCAAGTTACATAGAGCCAAGTTACATAGAGCCAAGTTACATAGAGCCAAGTTACATAGAGCCAAGTTACATAGAGCCAAGTTACATAGAGCCAAGTTACATAGAGCCAAGTTACATAGAGCCAAGTTACATAGAGCCAAGTTACATAGAGCCAAGTTACATAGAGCCAAGTTACATAGAGCCAAGTTACATAGAGCCAAGTTAGAGCTTAGAGCTTCGGCGTTAGCAGCTATGTAAGTTAGTTTAGGTTTCTAAGGCGCCGGGGCGGGAGTTTGATCGTCGCTCGGGATTGCGACCCTCTGCGGAGATTCGCGTGGTCGAGGTTCAAAAACTGAGGACTTTTTACGATTTCTGCTGGCCGCGCGCGACCCTCTGCGGAGATTCGCGTGGTCGAGGTTCAAAAACTGAGGACTTTTTACGATTTTTAGCATGCGCGCGCGACCCTCTGCGGAGATTCGCGTGGTCGAGGTTCAAAAACTGGGACTTTTTACGATTTCTGCTGGCCGCGCGCGACCCTCTGCGGAGATTCGCGTGGTCGAGGTTCAAAACTGAGGACTTTTTACGATTTCTGCGGCCGCGCGCGACCCTCTGCGGAGATTCGCGTGGTCGAGGTTCAAAAACTGAGGACTTTTTACGATTTCTGCGGTGCGCGCGCGACCCTCTGCGGAGATCGTGCGCGTCGAAGCGCTCTCGCTGTGGCGCCGCGCGAATTTGTCTTAGTCTCGGCGAACCCTCTGCGGAGATTGTGCGTGTCGAAGCGCTCTCGCTGTGGCGCCGTGCAATATTCTTGCTCGCGAAACGGCCTTTGGAAGTTGTCTCGTGGTTTGCGCGCCTGCTTTCGCAATCCCGCGGTCGCGGGTTCGATTCCCCCCTGGTCCGCGGCAGCTCCGGCTTGAAAATCGCAGCTTTTAAGTACAAACGTAGTACGCGGAGCGTGCTCCTGCAGCTCCGGCTGGAAAATCGTAACTTTTAAGTACAGACGTAGTGTGCGGAGCGTGCTCCCGCAGCTCAGGCTGGAAAATCGCAACTTTTAAGTGCAAACGTAGTACGCGGAGCACACCCCCGCAGCTCCGGCTTGAAAATCGCAACTTTTAAGTACAAACGTAGTACGCGGAGCACACCCCCGCAGCTCCGGCTGGAGAATCGCAACTTTTAAGTACAAACGTAGTACGCGGAGCACACCCCCGCAGCTCCGGCAGCACTTGCGCAGAGCAACTTGCGCAGAGTCACTTGCGCAGAGCAACTTGCGCAGAGCAACTTGCACAGAGCAATTGCACAAAGCACTTGCGCAGAGCAACTTGCACAGACCAACTTGCACAGAGCACATGCGCAAAGCGCTTGCACGGAGCAACTGGCGCAGAGCCCTTGCGCAGAGCAACTTGCTCAGAGCACTTGCGCAGAGCAACTTGCACAAACCAACTTGCGCAGAGCACATGCGCAAAGCGCTTGCGCGGAGCAACTGGCGCAGAGCACTTGCGCAGAGCAACTTGCTCAGAGCACTTGCGCAGAGCAACTTGCACAGAGCAGCATCGCCGCGCGCAGACACGCTCGCCGCAGCGATGTAAAAAGGTGTCTCCGCAGCTGGATGAGCACCTGTGGAAAAATGTGTTCGGGCCAATCGTCCTCTAGTTTCACTTTGTTTTTCTCCGGACACCTCCGTGTTACTCACCCCCTGAGCTGGCGGAACCGCTTCCAACTTGCTTGTTTCTTCTAAAATGGGCTGCCCTCAGATCCCCCGCCGAAGACTTAACTTTTGATGGGTGAAATGGAAACTACCTCTTCACACTTAAAAGCTAAAAGGCTATAGCTGAGCTATAAGGGGATGGCTGGGAGCCGCCAAGTAAAATGGTCCAAACCCGACAAGTGACGAAAAAGTCCGGGAACTCGGAGAGTGATACTGTGGATGGTTGCGAAATCCATCCAACGCACCACCTAAGAACCCCTTGAATGGGGGGTAAATACCAACGAACAATGGTTTCAACCATGGTTTCAAAGTGGTGCAGGATTTTGTCCATCCACCGTACTTGGTCCACCCTGAAACAAACAGGAGGAGACTCGATCCTTCTCTCAGTTGCCTTTCACTGCTAAGATGCCCCGCGATCGAACTGTTCGGGAGTTTCTGGAGTCAAAGGGAAACCAATAGTGTAGAGGGCCTAGTAGATGGGTCTGGCTCCAAATGGACTAGCCCAAAAACAGGGTGGTTTCCTTTTACCCCTACTCCAAAACCCCACTTTTTTCAGGGTATCATGTCGGCCCTCTACTAAAAAAGGAGGTTTTACCATGGAAAACCCCGTTTTCCCAAAAATACCAGAAAAAAGCAGGTATTTTGAGTAGGGGGTAGTCTGGCTTTCTTTTGAAACCCGCCAGAAGCGGGCTTCCCTAAACAAGACACACCCATCTTGAGCAACATTCATAGTGTTTCAGGAATCTTTCGTTGGGATTGAACCGGGACGGTACATTTGCCATGCCCTAAAACAACACCAGGCGCCGCTTGCCCGTGTTTGTGGCGATTCTGGCACATGGAAAAGGCAACGGGTGGGTCTAAGCATGTGAGAAACCAAGGGTCTCCTTCCAAGGAATTCGTCCCCTTGTAGCAACATTCCGGGGGAACAAATATGGTGGGAAGAAATTTGAGAAAAGCGGAACTAGGGACAAACCAGACTACCTTTCCACTCCGGCCGGTTGTTTTTTTCCCCCAAGAGCTGAAAGCTTTGGGGTCTCAGCCCAGATAGCTCCGGGGTCGAGAGTGGCCCGGAGGCGCTGGGAGAGGAGAGCACTAAAAAGAGCACCGCATGCTGTTAGGGGATATCACCTGAGTTTTTGTTCCTTTTTTTTTCCGGGTACCTCTTATTGGGAAACCACATTTGTAGGTTGCCCCAATGCGGAGGGGAGAACCGAAGACGCGAGAAACCGACCCTGGCCCTCCCACCGCCACCACCGGCCCCATCCATCGCGAGGTGCCACGGAGAACTCCTCCAGCGGCATCAGGAAGCTGCGCTTGGCCGGCTGCCGCGCGTGGAACCGCAGCATGGCCTGGCGAAGGCGATCCCCGCCCGATCCCCGCGAAGGCGATCCCCGCGATCCGCGGATCAGGCTGACGCGCTGCAAGGGTCCAAGGGCAGATCGGGCCCCCGGGGCCCGGAGAACTCGTGACTCACATGGCCGCTCGGTGCTTGAAATGTGTTTTACTTCCCGAGTGGAGGGAAAACATCCGCAATCAGCGGCATTCAAGCAATGAGCCTCTTGACAAAAGCCTTGGTAGGTCGGAATTTGGGGAAGCTAATGGGTTGCATATCGTGGGTCTGGCCCCCGGACCACTAACAGTGAGCGCAAATGGCAGCACCAAAAAAAACACCAGAGAAAACAAATAAGCAACCTGTTTTTGTTTCAAAAAAAAGGTACCCAGGCAGCCCTGAAACCTAAGTCGCTCCTTCTGCATCCCGAGAATTCCGGGGAGTCTTGAAATAGATTGACTCAAAGAGCATCTGGACTATGATTGGTGTTTCCCAGATACAATGGGAAAGTTAAATGAACACATAATTCGACGGCTTGGCGCGGCTGTTGCAAAATTACCTTTCCCTCATTCCTGTCTGTTTGGCTTGGTCGCGCTGCTTCCCACAACACCCCCTCCCGGTCAACCTCCTCCCAGCCTAAGCCCCGCACCCAACCCCTCTCCAAACCTCCCTTACCTGCAGAACATGCTTCTGTGCTTTCTTCTTTCTCTTTTTTTTAATTTTGGGAGCACTAACGCACCAACGTGTTTTGTTTTTAAAGGATTATGGGGGGGCCTGGGAAAGTTCCTGGGGCAAGTAAATTGAATTTCGCAGTCCCAAAGGAAGACATTTTCGGAAAACATGTCCACCGGCCAAACTTTGCGGTTCTTTTCTTGTTTTATTGGAGTTTCGCGGTGGTCCTTTGTGCCTTCGAATTGTGCTTTCTCCTGTACTTTTTGTTGTGCTCCCGCTTGTGGTTTTCCGTGACAATGATTTAGCAGCGGGTCCCACGCGGGGGTAATTGGGGTTTGGGGGTGGTCCTTTGTGCTTCCCAATTTTGTCCGCGGTCCTTTTTTTGGTACTCCCTTCCCCCAACAAAGGACAAAAGGGCACCACTGGGCAACTGGGCTACAGACATACTACAAGCTCTTCAAGGGGCTTGATTCTTGTTGGCTGCGGAAGCCTGTCTCCCCCCAAACAAAAACAAGAAAAAATCGCGGCGCTGAAAACCGAGCGAGCTCCTCCCATGTGCACGAAAACTTGAGGCCATGAATGAATATCCGGTGCTGGTGTCTGAGGCATGGGAAAGACCCGAAGGAGTGCCAACAGTGCGCGAGCATTTGGCGGCATCCGACGGCTTCAGCTCAAAGCGATCGAAACTCAATGAGGCGAAAGCGAGATGTTCGAATCATGTAGCACAAAAGGTGATGGCGCGGTCGTTTCTCAGGACGAGGAGGAGGAGGAGGACAAGGCGAGGAGGAGAAGAAGGGTAGGAAAAGGAGGAGGGGGCGGAGGGAATGGAACGGGAAACGCAGGCGATTTCTTGAAGAGAGCGAGGTTCCAACTGGAGGTTGAACCTAAAAACATCACATAGTAAAAAGGAAAGTCACCCGGTAAGTTGGCAACAAAACGGTGATAATTCCAAGAAACCATCATACTCGTGATACGCGGGAGTGTGTATTCATCAAGCTCTTGCGCTTGAACGCGGTGCCCATCCATAAAATATAGACACAAACACACATATAAGACGTGTTGCGTCGACCGCAAGCATGACTCATCATGTTGGCTAGTGACCCTAATAGTCACTACTCCTAAGACAAACTTCGTCACTGTGTCGCGGCTCTCTGCCACGGCCACTCCACCCGGTCTGAAGATTGTACCCAGCTGACGGTAGTTGGGTTCCAGGGTTGGATCAGTCACAGAATTCCTGGGCACCGCTCTTCACCCTTCCTGCCGATGAGCGTGTCTGTTTTGCGTGTGCCTGTTTTGTGGGTGTGAAAAACAAAGGGAGGCCATTAAAACCAGCCATTCTAAGGGTTTAGCCATTTGGAAAACCCGGACAAATATGTTTTCTTCCTTTTTTTCCGGGAGGACATGGGAAACCGGGTTGTCTCACTGGTTTGTGAAATGTGTGCCGTCCCCACCCCTTCCCAGACCAGCTCTAGACTACCAAATAAATATATATATATATATATATTGTCAGTGACTCCTATGGCAATCGGATTAGGCGCTGTCTCGCCAGCCATCAACCCGCCCCCAAGTCTTCGCAGGCACAAAGCCCGTTGTGGTTCTACCGGCATAAGGCTCCGTGAAGCCTTTGGGTTTCTTGGAATTGTCGTGGCTGCGCCCTCGAAGCCCCCGAGCGGGCCCCCGAACCCATGAGACCGGAACCAACAAAAGCAGAAGCAACAACACGCCAACATACTTCAGCCATACTCAAAGGAGGGAACTTAGTCAGTAACTCACACTACCTACCCGCCCTGCCCATTGCAGTACCTTTCACCCTCTCCCCCCGCAAGACCAAAGAAAACCAAAACAATTGAATTCCTTTGGCACTAGATCATTGTTTGGAGGTCACCAAACTGAAATTGATCTAGAGCATTTTTTACTGTAAGTCATTACTAGGATTGCTCTATCATCTCAACCAACTACTAAGACTCACCACCTAAACAACAAAAACATGTTGAAGAGACCTTCATGCGCTTCATGCCCAGATCGACTCGGCACTCGGCGTCTCGGCGTCTCGTCGTCTCGTCTCGTCTCCCGAGCAACCAGGGGGGTCTTTTGCCACCTTTTGTGAGAAAATGAGCGACCCCCTTAAAAAGGAATCCTTCACTACGAGGGGGCTCGAACCATTTTCCACCAACAAAAAGGCAAAAAAAGACCTGCCCGCTGCGAAAACCGCCACAAAACGCAGCACGTCCCCCGGCCGCAGTGGCGATCCGGAGGTTCTCCTCCGGAAACTCCCCGATGGAGCTGAGCCTCGAAGGACCCGACGGACCCGCGGGGTTCCAAGAAACGGGGAAATCCGGACTTCCGTGTGCGAACTTCGATTGAGTTCTGGACAAGTGAGAAAATGTGTCCAGTAGGGAAATTTTATTTGTGTGTTCGATTTCTGGAAAAATGAGAAAATCTGTCCGGGTTCCAAGAAACAGCCGGAAAATCCAGACTTCCATGTGTGTGTGTGTGTGTGTGTGTGTGTGTGTGTGTGTGTGTGTGTGTGTGTGTGTGTGTGTGTGTGTGTGTGTGTGTGTGTGTGTGTGTGTGTGTGTGTGTGTGTGTGTGTGTGTGTGTGTGTGTGTGTGTGTGTGTGTGTGTGTGTGTGTGTGTGTGTGTGTGTGTGTGTGTGTGTGTGTGTGTGTGTGTGTGTGTGTGTGTGTGTGTGTGTGTGTGTGTGTGTGTGTGTGTGTGTGTGTGTGTGTGTGTGTGTGTGTGTGTGTGTGTGTGTGTGTGTGTGTGTGTGTGTGTGTGTGTGTGTGTGTGTGTGTGTGTGTGTGTGTGTGTGTGTGTGTGTGTGTGTGTGTGTGTGTGTGTGTGTGTGTGTGTGTGTGTGTGTGTGTGTGTGTGTGTGTGTGTGTGTGTGTGTGTGTGTGTGTGTGTGTGTGTGTGTGTGTGTGTGTGTGTGTGTGTGTGTGTGTGTGTGTGTGTGTGTGTGTGTGTGTGTGTGTGTTCGACCCCTGGAAATGAGAAAATGTACTAAAGAGCTTGAGTCATATGCCGATGTAGAGCCAAAGCAAAGGAACAAAACGGTAACAATAGGTGTCCTTTTTTGAAAATAGATGGGCCTAGTAGATGTTTGAAATTACCAGGTAAAGAAAAGGCCACCAGGTAAACCATGGCCTTCTATTTTTTAAGCAAAACAACCAAAGGACACCAATGCCGGCAACATGCAAACAGAAACGAAACACATTCTGAAGAGATTGACTAATATGCCGATGTCGAGCCAGAGCAAGGGAAAGCCACAGCCCGCAAAAGCTTTAGTATTCCGGGCCATTGAGGACCATTGCCGGCAGTTGCCGTTCCATCCCCCATGCCTCCCCTAGCCACACTCTCTGAATTCGTCTTGGGAACGAGGTAATCTTGGGGGGAACCCAAAACCCAGATTCCGCGTCAAAGGCGTAGCCGCAGACTTCTGAAACAAAAAGTCGCCGAAGGACGCCTTGAATTGATACCCCGGGAGGTTCTCTGGACTTCCAAACTGCCATGCCACAAAGAGTTCCTAGCATAGACGTCCTGCCAAAAGGGGGGGGGTGCTGGTTGCCAGTTGCAAGGGGAAAAATGATGGAGAACTTTGAAAAAAGGCAGAAGTTTAAAGGTACGCCTTTGGTCTGGCAAGGAAAGCAACCCTCTCTCCAAAGGAAAAAAAGAGGAACAAGGCTGAAGGCAAGGGACCCTTTGGCCGGTCGGTCGGCCGGTCGTTTCACACCGCGCCTGGACTCCCACTCAGCCTCGAGGTCCCGGCCTATGCGAGAGCACACGCTCCGGAAAGGATATCCCCACTGCAAACTGGGCTGCCCGTTTTCAGATCCCCTGCAAACTTTTAGTGGGTTAAATTCGGAAATCCCCACTAAACCCTAGAAAGCTAAAAGGCTAAGGGGATGGCTGGGAGCCACCAAGCAAATACCCTTGCTCTTGCGGGTGTCTTGGTTGATACCTCGACTTCCAGAGTCGCTGTGGTGAACACCTTGGTTTCTGTGGTTCCTTGGCTTAAACAAATACCCTTGTTTAGACGGGGGTCGGCGTCTAAACATAGTGGGTATCTCACTGGCTGAGTGGATGGCCCAAAAAAAAGTCCAAATTTTATATTTGCCACTAAAATGGTCATCCCAAAAAGTTTAAAGTTCATGAACTCAGGAAGTGAGGAGTATTTAGAGGCTGCAAAAGGGAATGGGGACTTCACAAGCAGAGCTTGGAGCTTTCCTGTCCCGCGCTACAAGTCTTGGGACTCGACCATTCCTCAGCCCCGAAACCTCAAAAAATTGTGGCAACGGTCTGACGTCATGACCAGCGTACGCAGAAATACTCCCATTGCTGGAGCAAGATCCCATCTTTTAGCTCACCTTTTGTGTGGTGCTTCACTGATTCACGGTAACGGGACGGACACAAAACCCCGAGAACGTGCAAGTCGGAAGCACTCCGGGCAAGTGGGTTTGGGTGTGTTGGGGTGCTCCTTTTGGTTTAGTCGAAGCCACGGGGTCTTATTTCAATATAGGTGGGCCAGACTTCCCCAGAGTTGTCCCCAGATCCCCAGACCTGTAGAAGTAAGGCATTACTGTGGATGGACGAAATCCTGCACCGCTTTGCAACCAAGAATGTCCAGTGTTTGCTGGTGTTTGCAGGGGTATCATCATGCCAGGGCTTCTTAGGTGGTGCAGGATTTCAACCAACAGTATGGTTGCAAACGGTGTTGTCTAAAAAAAACTCCCTGCATAATACAATAAAGTGGTTAAGCCTAGGGCTTCTTAGGTGCAGGATTTCAACCATCAGTATGGTTACAAACGGTGTTTTCAAAAAACTCCCTGCATAATACAATAAAAGTGGTTAAGCCTAGGGCTTCTTAGGTGCAGGATTTCAACCATCAGTATGGTTACAAACGGTGCTTTCAAAAAACTCCCTGCATAATACAATGCAAGTGGTTAAGACTAAAAACTGTCACTGTTCGCTTAATAAAACCCTGGCTCGTTGAATTGAGATCGATTGATGTTGAATGGATGGTGGAACAGAACCCTTTGACGATGGCCTAAGCGGGGCAGAGGTCCAGGCACTTCCTAGGCATCATCAGGGATCCGGATGCATTATACACCTGAACATTGCCTTGTCAATGGTGGTTTCCCCTTATTTTGGTGGAACAAGCCATGTTTCAAATGGTTGCAAAAGGTATCTTTTGACTCGGTTGCTTTCTGCTCCCCTGCTAAAAGTTTAAATTCGTTGGCAAAAAGTGTTCAAGTCCTACCAGCCCTTGGCAAAATGCGCCAAAGTTTTAAGGTTTCCCCTTCTTTTCCTATTTTGGTGTGGAAAAAGCCACATGTGTCCAATGGTTGCAAAATGAAGATCTTTTAAGGAGCCCTGATCATGCTGGAGGCCTTCCTTCTCGCTCTCCTCTTCACTGGTTCGCTTGGTTCGGCGGGGTCTGCCGGGGCACGGTAGCTCAGCAGCGCCACAGAGCAGGGGAAGACCTGCGGCGGTCAGGTCTCCCCAAAGTCATCTGAGCCACTTGCTCAAAACCATGGTGGTTTTGGTGGTTTTGGTGGTTTTGGTGGTTTTGGAGGGTTTTGGTGTTTTTGGTGGTTTTGGCGGTTTGGGTGGTTTTGGTGGTTTTGGTGGTTTTGGAGGGTTTTGGTGTTTTTGGTGGTTTTGGTGGTTTTGGCGGTTTTGGTGGTTTTACCCAATGGTCATCCCATGTAAAGGATCTTTTGATCAACCCCCATATGAGTCACTTGCTCAAAACCCGGTATTAAAATGGTCTACCCAGAAGCATGTAAAGAATTAAGAAGTTTCTGGCTGGGACTTTGCCTAACCTTCATCTACCCGGGTTTTGATTCTGGCTGGCGGTAGCGGCGCTGTCTATCCTCCAGGGCATTGCCTGGGAGTCACGGAGTGAACCCTAAAAGCGAAAGAAGGGCCACGAGGATGCCGACCTGCGAGGAAAGTTCAGCGACTCTCGCCTCGCAGGCCGATGGCAGAATAAACTCAGAATATTGTATTTTGCATGGGGGCATCCGGCGAAGCCTGCCAAGCCTTGTCCAGGGGACCGTGAATCCACAGAGCACGCAACGCGGCTCGCAAGGGTCCCAGTCAGCGCAATAACAGTGGGAAAGCCCGGGGGCACCAGCCAGGCGACTAGCCCACCCCGTCATAAGATGCTTCCTTCGACCTATACAAAACCGAAGTCTGCGCACAGAGGAGTTGCCGAGAGCTTCACGCAGTTGCTCGGCGTCCAAGCCCGACAAGAAGCCGAGAGGCACCTTCTCAAGGAGAAACTCTCTCAAGAGAACCTTGCAGGCATCAATACGCTCCGGTACTGAAGTCATGGCATCAAAGTCGACGAAGGGGCGGTCAGAAGCCAGGAAGAACAGGGCCTGCTTTCTTATCATTCAGACGAGTCCGCAGCGGTTTACCCAGCATAAGGTATTCCTCATTCAAGTTGACAAGAACTTTCAGTCCAATATTGATGCCGTCGTGCCGTGGAAGCAGCAGCCCGAAGGGCATCGTCGGCAGCGGAGGCCATGACTGACACAGCTCCAACATGTCCGGCTCGGTTTCAGCATCAATTGGAATCCCTTGCATTTTGAGAATACCCATACATAACATCCGGATCTTCCACTGGGCCTCGCGAGCAGTCTTGATCTTACGCAGGAAGGGCGCTTTGTCCCCTGCAATAAAGATGAAGAGCAGCAAGGCCTCAATCCAAGTATGCCTCCTCGAGAGGGCTTCGGCTTTGCCTTTGTCAAATACGCACCAGTCAAGCATACCACGAAGAAGGTGGAAGTCTTCAATACAACCACCCCAATACCATAGGTTGGCTTTGACCGCCATCATGTCAGGGTCGATAGTCAAGAATTGTCCCCTCTTAAATACAACGTGGCTGTGAAAGGGGGAGCTGAGCAAATAGATATCTTCCGACTGAGCGTGCTGTCGATCAGCACGATCAGATTGTACCGGAGCATGATCAAGCTGAATATTGTAATCAATTGCACGGAGATTGCGGTGGCGAGCTTCCCATACCCAGGAGGTCAACCGCTTGTCGTTGAATAGTACCCCATTTAGCCTGAAGCCTAGCAAAGAGGTCTTTACAGAACACAAGAAGGTGTTGAGAACAGGGGCTCCACTGAGACCAGGATTCCCAACCTTCATCCCATTGACTGCGCAGATCGGCCCAGAAAGGGCATTCCCAAAACAGGTGCGCCATAGTAGCATCATGGTGTCTACATTCTCTGCACTCCGGAGTATCAGTGAACTTCTTGACAAATTGCGTGTGGAAGGAATTAATCCCGTTGATCAGCACTCGGATGAGCTTCTGTTGCACCGGGTGCCCTTCAGGTATTAAGTGAAGAAGTGCAGTGGTCGTGCTGAAATCGTGGTTGCCGACCCCCTTCCAGCAAGAGGAGTTGCATTGTTCCAACTCTGAGGCTATCTTGTTGCGGAAGGAAAGACTAAGAGCCTTGCTCATCACTTTGCAGTCGCCACTACCAAAGGTCCAAAGCAGTCTACCTTCATTGTTGCTAACTTGCAAGTTGTCAACGTTCAAATGAAGCTGCAGATATTCCAAATCCCTTTTAAGCTGGGAAACAGGGCCAATCTTTCTGATAGAGGGAAGGACCTTCTCCCAGCTCTGAATCACAGCGTCCTTGAAGGCGCGCTTCTTGAAGGCATGATTGTTCCAGAAGAGCAGGTTTCTCCAAACAAAGAAAAACTCAGGGTCCATAAGCAAGTAGTTTTTCTGAAACAGAATTCGGGCCGAAAAGGTCCCAAGCTTGCTCCCGTGTGCCGCTGTACGAATAGCCGTGCGAAGCTGCCTGAGCTGATCCTTGGTCGGCCTCAGTGTAGCGCCTGCATACGTAAGCATAGGAATAATGACCGTGCGGACAATCATATTGGTAGTGGCCGCAGGTTGGTTGGCCCTTGCAAGCAGTTGCAGCGCGGTAATAGCTCTGTGTATTTTCTTTTCAAACCAAGTCTTAGAGGAGAAGAGCCCAATCGCCAGGGGGACGCCAAGGTAATCGACCGATTTGACTTCCTTGACAACTTGTCCATCCCGCCAGCAAAGCGGTGTGGATTTCTTCACATCTCTGATTTGACACGTCTTAATTTGCGTGCGGAAGTTATGAAGCGTATCCCAAGCTTCGGTGCGTCCAAAGGCATGTTGGAGTTCACTCGAGTCACTTTCCTTGAAAAGAAGCCTATCATCCACATAGACATAATTGTACACAGCGCTGTTGAGATCTCTTGACCAAACCGCCAGCACAAGGCTAGCAGCAGCCATACTGATGGGGTCGCCCTGAGGCAACCCGATCGTCCCAAGAACAGGCCGCCTGGCCACTATGCCGGAGGTTGAAACGAATCTCCTCATGTGCCTGATGGAATGAATCCAAGTGCCAACTGCAGCTTGATGCATACCCCATTCGGATAAGGCTTGACAAGCGAGCCAATGTGGGATACAATCGAAGAACTTGACAGTGTCGATTGCCACACCATGAAATGAGAGGTGCGTCTCATTCTGGCATTTCTCAGCGGATAGAGAGGCGTGCAGCCAAGCTTGATACCCACTGCGCCGAGGTACACCCCCAATGATGTTCTCAGGGAGGTTGTCGAAGGAGATTTCACCGCATTTCAATAGCCACTTGTGGAAAATACGTAGTGCCGTAACTTCAATAGTGATGGGCCTCATGGCTTCGAGATCAAAGCCAGCGTCACCTTTTGGGATAACCACAAGCTTAGCATTAAGCCAATGCTTGGGAGCCCTTCCGCAAATAACACAGAGCATAAAAAGACTGTGCAGAAAATCAACGCCCTTCTGCGGTAGCTTTTTGAAATGCGCATAGGTCCATCCACCTAGCCCCGGCGAGGAGACACCTTTCCCGTTTCTGAGGATCCGATTGAGGTGTTTGACACTCCACATTTCCGCAGGGACTTCGTGGTTGGCGTTGCCCACATTCCAAGACATTTGATCATCATGCTGGTAGACCGTAGCGAAGAAGTCGCGAATGACATCCACCGTCTCTTGAGGGGTCTTGGTCCAACCATCATTTGTTTTGATAAAAGGGGGGGGTTTGCGGGTCGGGGCCCTGACCCATTTGCAAACGTCTCCAATCCACTTGCTCTTCTGGGATTTATCACCAGGCTGTTGCATTCTATGCTTCCAAGCTTGTAGTTTATCAAGTGAGGGTTGACCCAGCTCAAGTAGAGCTTCCCGAGTCTCTTCGTGCTCCTGTGCTTCACTGGATTGCGCGATGAGCTTCCTGTGAAAAATCGCCTTCTGCTGGTTTTCCCAATGCATTTTCACTCCCAAACCCGGGACTCTCTTGAAGTCGGTGTGGCCGTTCCAGAAACGAAACATAGTTGAGGCGAAGATGGACCAACACATATCCACATCAAATTTCTCATAGGCCGCACACCATTCATCTTGCAACTCATCCCACACTTCGGCGTGATTTCCACACTGCTCGTTGATGTGATATCCTTCAATCTGCAAATACTGATGCACCTCAGCATTCCAATTGAGCTTGGTCGAAATGATGGCATGCCCATTGTCGTAGGGGAAGAACGTGATTGGAGGACCGAATTCCATTCGAACGTCTTTGTGACAAATAATGTCATCAATCTTTGTTTTGGAGTGAGCTCTCTGAAAAGTATAAGGATCAGGACCAAGCATGTCCGTCAATTTGGAATACAAGTCCACGAAGAGGATGTCCATGTCCGACCCCCACTGTAAGGGACTGTTGAAGTCTCCAGCAATGGAGTGAGGATGCATCTCCTGAGCATCTGCCGCAAGGTCGCTGAGGAACTGGAAGTTCTTCTGCGGGTCATCAGGGGCATAAACATTCCAAAGCGTTCTCCAAGTGGTACCGTCGAAGAAGTTGACCGACAAGAAACGCCCCTGCTCGTGCCAATACTCCATTCTGGAAGGAGACGGGCCCACGTGGGCCGGGATCTCCTTCTTGATGGCGATTGCAACCCCAGGGCACTGCTTGTGGTGCAGACCAACTTTGCCACAGCCTTTCTTTTTCCAAATCGGACACTTGCCAAACAGGAGTTGATAACCAGAGGTGTCAGCCGAATTAGCGAACAGTTGGGCTTTGCGCGAGTCAATACGGGTTTCTTGTAATGCGAAGATGGAGAAGCCCATACCCAGAACCATATTGAGCTTGTCTGAAAGACTATTAAGATTCCAAGTACCAAGGAAGACCTCGTCCGCCATACCTCCAACCAAAAAGATGGTCCAATACAAAGCACGAGGTTCAATCTCATGAGAGAAGGAACCACCAAACATATCGGTGCGTTGAGAACCTAGTCAAGGCTGACCAGGGAATCCATCATCTTCAAAAAGGGAGGACGCAGCAATGTCCTCTTCCATTTGTTCTTCCTGCGCCTGCATCTCTGGGGATTGGAGAAGAGCTTGGAGGGCCTGCAGCTGCTCCGTCATGGCCGTAATTTGATCCATGATCTGTCCTCTGGACATAGTGCCAGTCGCTCCCTGAGTCTGAGCAGAGTTTTTGGTAGGTGTGCTGATGCGAATCCTCTTCTTGGGACCTTCATCTACCAACGGGGCATTCCACCACACAGAGTGGGTGGGGCCATCCTTTTCTGGCCTGGCTGGATCCATTTCCTTTACCCTTCTGCAGTTGGCTCTTGAAGGACGGATAGCTGACGGGGTCAACTTTGGGAGGGTCCACTTTAGGGGCCGGCACAAAGCTCCTGACCGTGGGTTCTACCGTCACAACTCTTCTCTCATAGCCAAAGAAGAAGGGGGCCGAAGTTAAGGGAGGAGTCTGACTGCTCCGAACCAAATACTGTACCCCTCCATTTCGAAATCTTCGACTTCCAGGCTGCACTTCTGCTTCCCAAGCCATGGCGTGCAGTAATTCCATAACATCTTCAGCAACAAAATATTGTGGCAGACCCGATGTGGTTTCCTTGATTCGGGAAGCCATCCGAAGCCGGTTCATTCCCAACACTGGGTCATACTGAGCACCAGCAATAGCCAGAGCCAGTGACTAGTGACCCGGTCATCACCCCGAATGAGGCAATCACCCCAAAGAAGAAAAAAAAACATCCCCGATGTGGTTTTCTTTAAGGGAAGACACTGAGCATCAGCCATAGCCAGAGCCAGAGCCAGTGACTGGTGACAATGTTTGGGGCCTTAAAGGCCATGACCTTTCCGTGGCTCTGGCTCTGCATCAATGGACAAAGAAAGCAGGCCCTATCGCCCGAAGGTCCCGCGAAAAAGCCATCCAAGTGACCCCAAAGCCGGAATGCGCGTTTTGCCAGGCCGAAAAATATGCGGGCTCTGTAGTTACCATGATTGGAAACCGATTTTCCAAGTTACTTTGCAAATAGTAGTTTCTATTGGTTGCCTGCTAAGCTACAACTGAAAGCACTGGGACAAAGGGCGGTTCTCTTCACCTCTCTCAGGAAAAAAAACTGAGCCCCGCAGTAAGCCCGGGACTTGTTGCAGCCGCCCATAATCCCTTGAAAGCGCAGGAGCCAAGAAACCAGTCGTTCTTTGTACTGCCCTTTCTGCTGGGTCCAACCAGCCCCAGCCCCCCCCCCCCGCCCGCGTGTTGCGTTTGGAAGTTCCAACTCCTTGGCTCAAATCTGGGATGTACTCTCTGACTTGTTCCATATTTCATTCGTCCACCCCGGCAAAAAACCGGCAAACAAAAACAACCAACAACCAAGAAGAATCATAGGATAGTAACCTCCCCACCCCCTGCCCGTATCCAAAAGACAAGGATAATCTTAGGAGCTGGGGGTTCCATATTGATTTCATCTATCGCACAGCACCTAAAGCAAAACTCACCTCCTGAGTGGCTTGGCCTTCTTCTTTGGTCCAAACCCAAGTTGCTTCGAGTCCAGGAACTGGGAAGTGAGAAAAACGAGAAGACCAGGAGAAACAGGGATCCTTACACTATACACCTGAACATTGCCTTGTAAATTGTGGTTTCCCTTTATTTTGGTGGAAGAAGCCATGTGTCAAATGGGCAAAATGTCATTTTTAAGGAGCCCTGAGAAAACAAGGAGAATCACAGGTTGGCCAACGTCTCCAAAGGATCATTTCGGGCTGGGGGGGATACGGGGCGCGGGGGGGTTCACTAAGCTATGAGAGACTTACCCCTTAAAACTCCAAGCCCTGGGGAAGTTAATCTTTTACAGACATATAGCCCACGTTACCCAAAAAGTTGAACAGTTGTGTTTTTAAGAGGTAAGGAGAAGACACCACCAGCCAGTCGGCCCCAAAACTTTTCGATCCCGCCTCCATGAGCAGCTCGAGGTCTCTGAGGTCCCCCTCGAAATCCCAGCGGATCTCCTCGCTTCGCCCAAGGCGACGCGCGGGGATTTCCAACGCCTTCTTGGGCGTTTTTTGCCGGGGGGGAAGGGGCGGGGCGGGGCGGGGCGGGGTGGGGTGGGGTGGGGTGGGGTGGGGTGGGTGGGGGGTGGGGTGGGGGAAATCCGACCAAAGGCAGATCCGACTTCGCCGGGTCGAAGGAAAACCAACAAGGCACCCACTGCAGGATGGTCCGGGTCATGTGATCCGATCGATCCTCCACTCATTTTCTGGGGGAAGAAAAAAAAACACCACCCATGGTGAACATGCTTGGGGTCCTTTCTGCAAAGGGTGGATTCAGTTTTCCCGGCGTGCCCCTTGGTACCCTTCTAGGATGGACTTCACAAAAGGTCATTTGGTACCTCAGAAGGTACCAAATGACCTTTAGGGTTGCCCAATGGATACCATGTTCATTGTGGGGAACCCACAACCTGAATGGTGGTTGTAGGTGTTTCAGACAACCCTGAACGGGCTTAAAACCCATATCGTCAGCTTGTGGTGGATACCTTCTGAAATCAAGGGTGTGGCGGTCCCATGGTCTCTCAGCTTGGAACCCAATCCTTTTTTTGCACGAGCCGAGTGTCTTCCCACCAGACCTTCAAGAACATTGCATCACAGGGAAGCTTCAAAACGTTCACATACCTCCTTTTCTTGCCAATGCTCAGTAGGGAATGTGGGAATGAACCCAGGGTCCCCTCAAAGGAAGCCACAAGGCATGGCTACTTAGGGCCATTCCCTGATGCTGAACACCAGCAAGTCTTAGATTCGGAACCTTTTGGGAGTTGGACCTGAGTTCCTTCCGCTCAGCTAGGTCTTGGCAGTACCGGACCTCGAAGGACGGGACCCGATTCTTGGCTTTGGAGGCCCCACCCTCTTGGTTCAGGGCCAAGCGTTGGAACCTGAGAAGTGATTGGACTTGAATCCCCGACATGTGGGCTATGGGGAAATCACCTCTGGCGATCCCATTTTGGGGTGGATGAACATCCATTTGCCACAGATTTTGAGGTTCACCAGGGGTTTCCTGGGTATTGACCCACAGCCATGTCCACAGCATCCGGGACAATTCACACCATCTGTTTTTTGGGAGGGCACAAAATGTGAGGATTCCTTCCAGCGATGGAGCTCCAAACGGATGCGTGTTTTGTGGAGGTGTTGTTTTTTCCTCGGCTGGGAGGTATGAAAAAAGACCACACGGAACCCCCACCCACCCCCATGTTGACCCTTTTTTAGGGGATCCCCGAAACGCTGGGGTTCCTTGCTGTGTTCTTTTCAAAACCACCCAAAAAGGGGGCGCCCCCCGAAAAATATGACACCCACCAACTTGCCGAAAGATTTGTTGCGCCTGTAGTCTATTTTAGTGGAGCCCTCACCAAAAAAGGGGGGAGAGAAGTCGGGCACTTGGGCCCTTCTTGAGGGCTGCAGTCGGGAAAGCCTCGGACAAAAGCTCAGAACACACCGCCCGCACCTAGCCGAAAGATCCAGCGGTCCCCACCTTGAAGCCAATGGCCCGGGCGTTGCTGGGGTTCAGCTCCCCCAAGACACGGAGCTGATACGCGCACAGCAGCTCCGACCTCGGCCGAAGCGGAAGGGGCGGTCCATTTGTTTGAGGCTCTGTACCCTTGTTGGGCTTGGCCTTAAAGGGAACCCAAGAATAAGTTCGAGGCACACTTGCTAGGAAAAGAAATGGAACCAAGTTGGGGCTGTCCATTTCCATTGAGGCTCTGTACCTTTCTTTAGGCTTGGTTTTCCAGGAACACCCAAAGAAGAATCTTCAGACACCACCTGCTAAGAAAAGAATTGGAACCAACTCGTCTTGGGGTCGATTCCACTGAAGAACTGGGTGTGTCTCTTGTTCTCCTTGCGTTTCCCCAGGTGGAAGCCAGCAAGGCTCTGCTTCGCTCGGAAAAGGACATCTGGGCGACGATGATGACTCTTGGAATGCGATCCTCGTCATGATGATCATGATCACAATGATCATGTGGTACCGTCATGGTTGGAATGATGAAACATAAATGGTAATGATGAGCAAAACCATTCTGAGGCACATGCTCATGATCTTGATCTGCTCCCCACACTACGGCACATATTGATCTGGAAAGGCTTCAAAAAAAAAGAGGATCAGCAACTTCCAATGAATCCGTTGGGAGTGTTGGCCAAGCCCAGCATCGCTTTTAATATCTATGGGACAACTACCAGGGGTACCCCCTTTTCGGAGTTCAAGGTAAGGATCTTGCGGATGGCCTTGGAACCCCAGCTTGTTTTCGAGCTTGACTCATGGCTCATTCTTTTCAACCGCCAAAACCAACAAAAAAACAACATCTGATCTTCTTATTGACACCAAGAAAGAACAAAAACGCGCATTCTGTTCAAAACCAAAAACACGCCACGGCCACTCCCCCACTCCTCCGGCGCCGGGAAACCGCCAGTCGGGCGCTCGGTCTCACTCGCGGTCTATCACTTGGAACAAACTCCCAGCTTCCTGCCCTCGCCCAACGAATAGGCTTGACATGTGCTAACCCTGCTTTATATTTCCCAAGCCTAGAAAAAAACATTGTTTCGAAGGAGCCCCTTTCACGAACAACCCTCAAATACAACATCGGCTGGATCTGTCCTAACCCTGTCTTTTTTTGGCTTTGCCGTTTTAGAAGAACATCGGCTGGATCTGTCCTAACCCTTTTTTCTTTGCCGTTTTAGAAGAAAGCATCGTTTCGGAGTTTTGGCCCCCCTGAATTATTCGGGGCTGCGTCAGCTTCTGAAGGCCTGAGGCTTCGAGGCTTCGGCATGTTCCGCTGCAGGCTGTGCCTGTAGGTCATGTCCTGCAAGAGTCAAAAGAACTGGATTGGGGTTGGGTTGGGTTGAGGGGGGGGGACGGCTGGGTTTTAAACACCTGGCTGGAATTAGGACCCAGCAAGAAACTGTTTTTGTTTGCCTGGTTAGTGGAAAACCTGGAAGATACCAATGTAAAAGAAACCCACGTAGGAAACCAAGTATTAGGGCGTCTGTTAAAGGTTCCCAACCACCGAAGATACGCCAAAACACAAAGGATGGTACAAGATGTCTTGCATGAGCTTGGCCCATACAGCAGTGCTTATAACCACCATTTCTTTTTCCGAGTCCGGGGCACACAATAAGAATTGTAACCTTTTGAGATCCTGTTTCATGTTTGTCAACAATAAAAGGTTGAACACATGAACGAGTTTCTCCTGGCAAGCCAAGTCATGAGAGACACAGACCCTGCTTCCCGCAAACTGAGAAGGGGTTTCATGGGGTTCGGTGGACAGCTTGGGTTTCCCGACTTTGTCTGGGCCGGGGAGGCTCCCTTGGATTTCAAATCCTCCCAAAGTGTTTAGAAGTGAGATCGGCATGCTTTGCGGGACCTTGCGGTTCACGTTGTCTGGTGACGTCTCCAAGAAACAAGTTGCTAGGTGGCTAAATAGGGGCCTGGGAGAAAAAAAACAACAAGCAACATGTGGTGTCTCCTGAATAGGGGCCTGGAAAAACAAAAAAACGCATCCCCTTTTGGTTCCCCTTGGGAAATTGAACCTTGTCCTCCATTTGCTTAAGTTCCCTGGTGCTAGTGATAGATTTCCTTTAAAACCAACAGGGGAAAATACGAATCTTCCTTTCAGCAAATCGAACCTAATGGGCTAAGTGACAACCAGGAAGTACGCCGACCCCTCCGTGGGCTCCTCTGCGTTTTGACGGTAGTTCTTCGAAGCGATCTGCCGCTTCTGGAAGAGGCGCAAAAGAGGAGCCCACATGTTCCTCGGAGAGGCGAGCGGTCAGAACCTGTGGACGTGGGACACTTCGGGCTGGGTTTGTTTAGGGGAAATTGATCGAGCCTCGAATTGACTGAACCATGGAGTATATTGATATTCTGAGTGTTGATTTGAGCTCTCGAGGCTCGGTAAACCTCTTTTGAGGGGCAAAGGGAAGACAAAGGGAAACCCAAAGCCCCATCTTTTGGCCGAGCCCCTCGCCTCAAGGCACCGAGAATCCATGGGTAGCAGAGGGCGGGGAGAGCACTGGACAAAAATCCATGCCAGCACCTGTTGCTACGGATTATCCTTGGGGGCGATCCTCTGATCTCGAAACTGATTGAATACATCTTGCGGTCTCCAGCCCAGCCCACACAAAACAGATGCTTCGCGGCTTTGGCCAAGCGCATGACTGAAGTTTGGCTTCTGCAGGCATGCGGCCTTCTCTATATGCCGTAGGATGGGCAAGGGTGGCCGAGGCCGAGGCGACCCATGCGCCGGGGGGTGGGTTTTTGCTCAATGCTCCCTGTGGCGCGGCGCGCGCGGGCGCGCGGGATGGATGATGGCCTCCGGCCATCCCCCAACTGCGCGTGGGCTGTGCTCCACGAATGAAGTTTCTTGAAAGTGCGCAGGGCGAAAGGTCCCAGCAGACTCTTCCTTTACGCATTTCCTGGTGTGAAGATCTGGAGCATGAGAGATAGGCCGACCTGCCAAGGTTTCTTCGAAGCCACGATTTACATGCTGAACGTCTGGACGAGCGGGCGAATCCGAATGGCACGGCGCATTCATAGTACTACCAAATGTACTGATGAATTGACGGCCACCATGAGGCCTAAGGGTACTATATGTCTAACTATAATGTGTATGTGCCCTTTACTTGTTCTGTTTACAGGTTGTGTATGGCTTTTGCACAGGTGCTCAAAGTAGAACCGTTTTGTTGGATAACTGTGTCTTTGGTAAGCAACAGGTTGAAAACCAGGTGTTTCGTTTGCACCCTTTATTTTCATGAGTAGAGGGTGTGTTGCGTTCTCACCTCCGCATCTCCAAACAACCAACAATAAATGCCAACTTATTTATTATTATTATTATTTGTTAAAAAAAAGAGCAAGGCTTCCTACGAGCCCTGGTCGTGCTCCGGACAGGAAGGGAATTTTCAGGAGAGACGCTGCTAGACCCTCCTTCGCTGCTGGCCACGGCCATGTTCAGAATGCAACATGGGGATGTTGTCTTCGTCGCCACGGGTGCGTTGCGGACTCTTGGCTACACTATTGGCTCAGCCGAGGACTAGCAAAAAAACTCAGGATGACATGTCACAAGTCCCGGACTAAACTCTGAAAGCCTTAAGGTCCTCCAGACAGTGTTGACCCAGGACTACTCAAGCCCGATGATGTGCTGATTGGGGGGGGGGAGCAGGGGTACCTTTTAAAAAGGAATCCGGATAACTGTTGGAGTTGCGCCCACTAGCTCGTTTCACACTTGAGCTCAATACAATGGGCAACATATGAATCATCAACTTGGAGTTCCTCTTGGATTCCCATTTGAAACCGGGCGACTCCTTATTTTGCGACACACCCTCGCCCTGTGCGTGCTGCCTTGGCTTCTGACCCCCAAGAATCGTAGATTCGGCCCATATCGTATGGTCGGACGAGGCCCCGGCGTGCAGAGGAGCTGAATACACGCTCGCCCTTCCTAGGACCTAGGATCATGAATTTGAGTTCAAAGTACCCTGCGACCTCATTCTAATTATCTCCCTTAATGGCTAGGTCCAGTAGCGAGATGAGAGAAAAATGTGTTTGTAGCAGGAATGGAAGGTTTCCTGGTGGTTTATCATGTTCATCTTGTTGCTCTTGTTGTTGTAGCACAAGGGACTAGAAAGCACATCATTCTTTCATTATCACATCTTTAACGCCCCGCGCGAACGCGCGAACTACTTAGGCCATCATATCTAGGCAAAAATATGGGGTACGCCCAAGACATATCTGCAGATTATGGACCGCATTCAGTCTACCCTTTAGAATAAATTGTGGAGGCCCCAACTATGGCCTGCATGGCACAGAAGCAGATGTAATTACATATATATATATATATAATATTAATATATACATATACATACACACATGTTTGCCCCCAGCTTGGCGAACGAGACTTCATCCTGGCGGCTGGTTCTCTCCCATGATGTCGTAGCCGGGGATTTGGTTCAGCATCTCCAGGACCGTGGTGCTACCACTCCGCCCCGCGCTCACCTCGATGCAGTGAGCGGGGCAGTGAGGCAAGCATTGCCTCTGGAAATGGGTGGATTTGTTTTTTGGGTTTGAGGGGAATGTATTTGAGGGGAATGTATTTTTTGGGGTGTGGGGTTTGAAATGGGCTGATTGGTTCTTGATATGCGTAGATCTTGGTTTTGACGGTTTTTTCTTAAAAGGGGATCTATCTTTTAAACAAATTGATGAGTCCCCTACTTTTTCCGGCACTCCCAAATCAATACGCCTGCAAATGTGGGAAAGGGGAGACAGTCCGGAAGAGTCCAAGAGTTTCAGTCCAAAGTTGAATGCAGGGGATCTAGGGGTTGTTGTTGATGCCGACTTGTGGATTCCTCGCAAAGGGCAATACCAGTGAGGTCCTTCAGTCGAGAGGTTAGAATAAGGGGACCCGATTTTTTTTCGGCTTTGTCTATTTTAGTAGGGGAACCCTTCCCCAAAAAAGTTGGTAAAAGGGCGCCTAGCTGGGGGACCTGGGTGATGAGGAGTGAAGCCACAAGAGTGGCGCAACGCCAAACCACCGCCTCGCTCACTGATTCACCTCCACGGATGCGGAACCCAAGGCTTTGGCAAACCCCGACACCCAGCGGTTTCAAGCCCAGAAACAGGCAGATTGACTATGGAAAACCAGGTTGTGGCAACATATGCCCTGGAAAACAAGCTGTGAAAAACAAGGTGGAGTAGGGGGTGTGCAAGGGATCTAGAATCAATGCCAAACACATTTGTTTCCCCCAAAGGACATGGGAAATAGAGCGGGACCCCCATAGTCTCCCCAAACGGATGATAAACTATACTCGTTTTGCCAGCCGTTCACATGTGAGGCACGGTCAAAAGTACCTGCTTCTCCGAAAAAGAACACGGGGTATTTGCATTGCAAAACATGGTTTTCCATAGAGGATACCTCCTCTTTTCCGTCAGTGGTTAGTGGTTGACATCATACCCGCAAAGCGATTGGCCAAAATGCTAGTCAGTTTGTTTGCCACTGAAATTGCCCAAACCCAAAAACTGACTCAACCGCGCCAAACGGATCCAACCCTCAAAGAGTCAACTGTTGGTTCAAAAGCATGATGCATCCCCACCGCTCAACGGAGACGATCCGTTTTGTACCGGGGGTTCTAGATAGATCCGGGTTCTCATTACAAAAGCACAGGAACTCCGCTTCCAATTGGAGCAAACACCTTGGTTGCTGTACCGACCCTGCAAAACGTTTTAAGCTTTTTGTGGGGTTTAGTGGGAAAACACCTTTATCTTCCAAAAAGTTGTCCAGTCTAAAGATCCGTTACCCAATAGCAATCTAGACACCGGCTGTTCGTCACGGGTCCAATTCGGCCGCGTGGCGACCCACACCGCCGGAACACAGCGCTCCTAGCTGGGGATTTCAGTGACTTCAAGCTCGGATGAAGCGGGGATGCTTGTTTTTGACGCTTCCCTCATTGATTTAAAGGGAACCCCAAAGGAACACTACCTATGGGCGTCCCCCGCCCCACATCAAGGACCACAAACAGAGAATGCCGCCCTGGGATTAGTGAAGGCCCCCTTCCCCCTAACAAAGGAGGCTCAGACGAATGTCTTGAGGTCCAGCACAATTGTTCGGTATTGCTGGAGCTTCCTGTCAACATTGAGTGTCCATTTGATTTAGTATTGCCGGAGAATCCTTTGGGTTTAGGCAACAAGACTTTATTGCAGGGGCACTTGAAATAAAGTCTTGGGCTCAAATTTGGAGGCTTGCAGTACTTCCCCGCATGTCGGCTTGATTGCGGGCATATTTTCACAAAGAGACATGCAAGAAAACATGAGTTGGGGAACCTGAACAACAGCCGGAAGCTTCACCAGCATCACCTGGGCTGTCTAATTAATTAGCTGAGAGGTCCACTGCGCAGGTTGTATTTGTGCTAGGGGAGAGGGGCAGGCTAGGTGGGATTGTAGGGGCACGTGAAAAGGTTTCAGGGTGCACGTTCTGCTTTCGAGGGTATGTTTGTTAAACATGTTGTTTGGGTTGTGAGGGGGGGGGGGCGGCTTTATTGCAGGTGCGGTTCTTAATCTTTTAATCCTGGACATTACCAAGGGCTGGGAAACAACACAGGATTCAAAGGCAGAACCCACTGAAATAACTGGGTTGGAGGGTCCAGGTGACGCTCTCAAACTCTGAAACCTCACAAAAAGACCCTTCAAAATGATACTAACTCAACCCAAATCTGGCGGAAGCAAACAGTTGTTCAGATTCTGGTCCATACTTCGTTCACCCCAGCATGATCAACAACGGAGGAGAGTCCAGTTCAGAGGGTGGCACATCTACGAATAAAATCGAGGGATTCTGATCGAAGGGTTCACATCTGGACATGTCCAAATGCTTCCCATTTACCGTCTACAAGAACCATGGGTTCAAATCCAGATCCAACCCACCAATCACAAGCACTTGAGGGTTGTATGGGAGTGCAGAGGGTTCAAGAAACAAACAAAAACAAAAAAAAACACTTAAAAACAAAAAAACTTCACCCAGAGGGGCTGAAGACACAAGGGCAACAATTAAGTTATGGTTGAGTCTATTGTCTAGATTTGAGTCTAAGCATGACCGGTCAAGCACAAGTACATTCGAATAACACACAATACGGTCCTCCTGCTCCAGACTCCGGCATTTTGTTGGCTACATTGTTTTCCATGGTATGTTCTGTCAGCGTTGACATCATGCCCGCAAACAGGTGGATGTCATACGGATCAATATGTTGCACAGACCAGTATTTGATAAGGTATTCTCAGCGAAAGAATCCAGCTGATCCCCCTGCAAAACCACTCACCATAGCTCAGTTTTGCGCAAATGGAAGGCGATCGACCAGGATCATAGGATTCTTGCACTCACACTTCAAGCATCTCGCCAAAAGGAAACTCTTGCAGAGAATGGTGCTCTGAAAAAACAAATAATTGTTAGTTGAACTTGCACAAAAGAAACGTAGGGTCTGTAGGTCCACAGGGTTGTTCAGCGGTGCCAAGTCGGTTCCGAACCGAATCGGAAGTTCAAGGAATCGCGGATCTCACCCAGATTTGCTTGCTGGTTCTCGAAGGTGGTTTGGGTTTGGTCTCAAAATGTGGGTGGGCCCTAAACAAATGAGTAAACAAATCGGGGGTCCAGGCAACTGAGAGATTCGGCTTTGACTTGAAGCAGACCCCCGAAATTCCAGTCCTCCAACTGCTTCCCTTTCAAGCACCCCCCAAAAACAAAACGGCAGCAGCCCCCCCCCCCCCCCCGAAAAAGAAGAAGAACAAAAACCAACACACCACAAGAACACCCACCTAGATCCCCAGTTTCCAGCTACTTTTGCCCAAATCATGGGCTAGTGGGTAAAGTGGCTTAACAAAAAGGTACCCCCCTTGGGGTTCCAGGCACCCTCCCAAAAACGACGCCCACCCTCATCCAATCCCAGTCCTCGCAGCCCCAGGTCGATTCGGGCGTGAGGCTGAAGCGAACCTCCTGGCCGCTCGCAACGCCGACGCTCGCCACGTCCGCCAGTTGCAACGGAGGAAGAAATTCTTAGCAGGGGGAGATATAACATATTCTGAACCAAATGAAAGCTAGACGAACGGTAGACGATCCCAAGAGTACTGCTTTCTAGGTGCTATCCTTCTCTGAAACATCTGATTTCCATTCTAGGTCCTCCTCCAGAGAGGCTAGAATGACCCGATTCTTGTTCTCGGTTTTGTCTATTTTAAGGGAAGCCTCCCAACCCAAAAAGGGGTGAGAAAGGGCACTACTGGGGGACCTTGCATATGTGGGTGTGTCCCTTTTGTTGGAGCTGGTATCCCGTTTGTGTGATTTCTAAAGGGAAACCCACAAGCTTGTTGAACAGCTCGGGGCCGCACTTAGGCTGAAGCTGCGGGTCTGACCGGCTTGCTGAGACTGGGCGGGCTCTGTTGGCTTTGAAGCAAGCCGCTTGGTGCTGTTCCCATTGCGGCCTCTTGCGTGTTGTCACAGCTGCCGCAAGCCAGCTGGTCAGCTGCTTCAAGTACATCTTCCCGACTCCAAACCTCTGGTCGGAGAACTCGCGGCTCAGCTGCATTGTGCACCTGTGAAGACGTGCTTGTTCGTGCGCCAAAATAGCTCCCACCCCGGAAAGGAAGAACATTGGCCTTGACAGGAACAGGGATCCGTACATTATACACCTGAACATTGCCTTGTAAGTGGTGGTTTCCTTTTATTTTGGTGGACAAAAGCCATGTTTCAAATGGTTGCAAAATGTATCATCTTTTAAGGAGCCCTGAGGAAGCAACATGTTTTTCACATTGCCACGTTTCTGGCCCTGAGGTTTAGCGTCATTTACAGGCTCAGAGCAAGCAAGCCTGTCTCTTTCGGGCGCGCCTTGGACAAGCCGCAAAATTGTCAGCACAAAGGAACCGGCCTTCCCAACTTCTGATATGTCCACCATTGTTTGGTGTCAAACTAGAGTTGTCTGCTTTTCTCACACACTGCCAGTCACTCGGAGATTCCCAAATTCTCCCATGGCTTCATCCTCCTTTGGGATTGAGCCGTCTACGTCCCTGGTGCGACATAATTGCCAACATAAAGTCGGTTGCTGAGAACTTTTACACCAAGCCTCCATGTGCGTGTTTGTCTCCTGGAAAAAACAAATCCAGTAGTGATAGATTCCCTTTACAACCAACAGGGGAAAGCAAAACATATTCTTAATGAAATAGAAGCAAGGTTAGTCATGATTGGTGTGATAAGGGTCTGATTTTTTGAGTGGGGCACCCTTTGGATTATGGTGGTGATTCATGTTCAGCAACAACACTTTACAGTTGGGTTCTCCAACAACAAGAGAAAAACAAATCAACACCTGAAATTGAATTGACGAGAACCCTCCCTGAGGATGTCCATTCGCCTTCTGCAGCAGGAGGAGATCATCCACCAGCCCCAGCCCGAGCCTGGCGATTGGACCTTGCCTTTAAGTCATGTGGCCATGGGTCAAAAGCCCGAACCCCCTAGTGAAGATCCCCCATCCAACCACAACAATAGGTTCTAAAATGGGTGGTGAATTCACCTAGCCCAAAATGGTACCAAACTATGGATACAAATCTGCAAATTGTACATCCCCAAGTAAACACTCGTTGCCATGAGCTCGTTTCTTTTCGGGCCACGGTCAGCTGGCCATAGATGCAGATAACACCCCGCAAGGGATTTCGTGGTTTGATCCACGCCTGGCAGGATGTCGCCCACGGGCGAAAACCATTCCGACCCTCCCAACAAAGGGGCCCAACTCGGGGGTAGATGATTGCAAGTAAACCAAACTCAAATGGGGAATCTACAGGGTTTCTCTTGTTCCCTTGCAATATTTCGGGCCACCGTAGACCAAGAATCAGATGCCTCACATGTTTTGTCCCACATCGAAGAAGAAACAAATACCTTCAGAGATCCAGCCCTGAACCCGGAAATTCCCTGCCAGGAAAGAGACGCCGACTTGCGACTTGCGGCACGGCTCGGCCTGACCATAGGTGTCCTTTTTCAAAAAACGGATGGCCCTGGAATTTCGAGTGAACCACCAGGGAAAAACATATTAAACAGGAGGGGCAAACCGCAGGTTTTGGGTTTCCAGTTTCCACTTACCAGGGCAAGCCATTTTGGACTTCCTTTTGTTTTTTGAGCCACAGCCAGATGAGTGAACCACCAGGTAAACCGGGCATCGCACTCAATTTGTCTACCGATGGGCCTGACATGGCCTGACATGGCCTGGAAGCCCCAGCTTTCCGAGCGGGCGATCCCGTCATGGAACACATCCCAGGCTGAAGGGCAACTTGCCATGGAACGGAGCGCTGACAAGAACGGCTGTACATAAGGAAAGACAATAACTGCCGTTTGCTTAAGACCCAGGAAAGCAAAAAAACACGATCTCCAGCAGTGAAGGATTCCCTTTAACAACAATTGGGGGGGGGGGGGGAAATAACAAATATTCTTAACCGAATGGAAGAATCATGTTAACCCGCATTCATAAACCCATGGCTGATTAATAGGGGGTGTCCCCTTTTGGTGTGGATTCAGACCACTGTTGGAGGGAACATCCCCCTAATAATGGGACGGGTTTATTAATCCTGGGTCAACATCAAGCATGGCTTTCCGCCAAGTCAGAAACACTTGCAAAACCCAGCAAAGAGTAACGTGTACGTGTCTATGTCGCCAAAATCAACCGGCATTGCAGTTCAGCAATGCTAGGAGATGAGACATACAGTGCCATTCCACATTGAATCAGTTTGGTTGTCCTTCACACACAAGGAGAATTACATCAATGATCGCACAGAGATTTGTCTGCAGACATGCCCCCGTTCTCGAAAGAAAGGTCTCCAGACTGTTGATTCAAAGATCGTTTCCACTATCCCCAAACCACACCTAGAAGAAATTGGGTATATGACTCATACATATATATATATATACAGAGTGGCAGTGGCTTTGTAGTGGGTACATATCCCAGAGAACCCGTGGGGGTAGTGGTCTGGGGGTAGTGGAACCCATCTGAGACTGAGTCACAGAAGGATGTGGTAGCAGCCTGCGGATCCAGGGCGAAGCAGAGCTTGAACCGACGAGTGTCCAACAAGCGCGAACCTATCACTCCGCTTACTTTCCAGCCGGGAGAAACAACCTCTTTAATGTAGTCCCCGGATCCATCAATATGCGCGTTTCTCAGGTTGGGTGTTTTCCGGAAAAGTGCTCCGGATCCGCTCTTAAATGGCACACCCACACCCCAATTTGGGTTTGTACTTTTTGAGGGCACAGGGTGGTTCAATGTGCTTATCATCCCACCCACCCCAATTTTGCACACCCTGGCTGGGATGAAGCAGTTCAGCGAGTGTGCTTATCATGCACCCCACCCCCCACCCCCAGAACCAGATGAATTTACACATTTGGTTACAGAGTGGGCTGGTTCAGTTGAGCGGGGGAAATCTGCAAGAAAAAAACATCTTTTGAGGTCCCCCCCCCCATTTTGACGCATTCCGCTGACATGGCCTTCGTCCCTTTGCTCAACTGCCCCGCCTAGAGAGCAGTGCCACTTGTGTGAGCACGTGGCAACCGCGCATGGCACTCCGTGCTACGAGTCACCCCAGTTAGATCGGAACTTTCATGGGTCCCGACTCTTTCCCTGGACATGACTTAGGCGGGGATTCATCTGTTACCCTCTTTCCAACAAACATGCAAGTGGACAAAGGGGTTGCCCAAAAGGAAAATAGTCTTCCAAAACCCTCCTGTCAGCTTCCATGATTGTTGGAGGGAGGGTACCAACTACTTTTCAGGTCGTTCCGACTCTTCGAATTCCTTGCCGTGTGGGAGTGTGTGTGTTTTGTTTCAGGGTACCCTTCAGGTTGGTCTAAAAAAAACCAACTGGCTGGCAAACCATCTGGATCCAGTCGATTGATTCACAATTTCTTGAGCTGTTGGGTGTCTAGGTCCTAAGGAGAGATCTCTGGGCGTTCTTGAAAGACAGCAACGTACTGAAGCTCCATTGGGACCTTTTACTGGCAGAACTTAAGGAGCAAAGCTCAGGCCATTCGCTACCAGCGACTTGGGAGGAGAACGAATTGGATCTGGCTCTTTGAGTGGATTCAATCCACTCAAAGCCCCAATTCCACCAAGCAAAACAAAACTTCTCACAAGGTTTGCAGCTGGAATCCAGAGAACTGGCTGATAAGAGGAGAAATTATGCAAATGCTCTATCTGTGAGATCTCACGGACCCTCTCTCTCGGTTTGGTATCGAGAATCTGCGGGGCGGGCGGCGGGCGAGTTCGGATGGTGTCTCATGAGAGGACTGGGAAACAACAAGTCCAAACTTGTTGCTTGCCAACAAAATGGGTGTCAGTACTGGGGACCCCCAAATGGAGGTCTGTCCTTTTAAACAAGGTGCCGAGCCTCAAAATACACCCACCCAAATGGGCGAAGTCAAGCAACTCAGGGAGTGAAATGGAGTGAGGCAACATCACTGCCAGGGCCATTCTGTTTCCAAAATCATACACCCTTGAAGGGGAAAGCCTGAAACAATGGCGATAAAATTGCCATGTGTGATCCTCCCAAGCAGCGAAATATGGCTACGATTTTTTTTAAAAGAACCACCTCCAACCTGATTGGTGGACATACATCCCCACCTACATGATGCCCACCAAAGTAGAGCCGACTAAGTAGGTCAAACACCAAGGATTGACACCCTCTTTTTGTGCAGGTTCATGTTCAAGGGCCGACCGAACATTGGGCAAGATGGAGGGCATAAACCTGCCCCGTAGGTTTTGGAAGCCAACGAAAAACCGCATCAGGTTTACCCAACTGTTCTGCTATCTTTTGCCCAGCAAAAGCAGCCACTTTGATTCTGGCCCGTATTCACTGAATCTGCAAGATCCCAATAAAACCCTTCCATATGGAAAGAACATGGTGCAGAGCTACCATCAACATCAACATGTCAAAGTGTGGTGTGACAAAACGGGGGGAGAAAAAAAACATGGACAGGTTTTTCATGGAAATATGGGCCATGGGTCAAAATGAAATTCCACCAGGAATTGGACCGGTTCTGGTCCTTGGTTCCATGTACCGACCGGGCTTGCGAGCCATTTTGGTGGGTTACCATATCTATTTTTGACGACCACGGCCATATCTTCGAAAGAGATCCCAGTTTGGGGAACACGAGAATCCCCGCTCGAATTTTCGAGCCACCTGCCAAGGAAACGGCGAAACTGCCCTGAGAGCCAGGCGCTTCCCTGGGAGAGCATCATGAGATCGCCCTCTTCCAAGATCTGGACGGAGCAGGCTTGCCCCCGGTGTAACTAACCAGTTTGCCTTTGCCTTTTGATTGTTTCTTCCCTTCAGGTAAATAAATACGTGTGAAAATTTGGGTGTGGTCTTCCTTTTGCTATCCCTATGAACCAAAGTGCCAAGGGTACCCTCGAAAACCACACACCCACTGGCCCTCACTGAGCCGAGTCCCCATGTTAAGCGTCTGGCAATTAAGGGCCCCAGCCCAACAAGTTTGGGTATACCATCTGAACGTGGCACAAGATCTTGTCCTGCGCTTTTCAACCTGCATTGGGATATGTGTTTGCTTTTCCGACCGCCGGCCGAGAACCTTTCACGCGCAGTGGAAGCAGAAGTGACATTGGAAAGATTCGCCGTGAGCTTTAAGAACTCAGATCGGAGTCTAGCCCAAAACAATTGGGGAATGTTTGGCGGACGTCATGTGCATAGCTGGACGTCATTTGCATTGGATTCAACTGCAGATGTGGCACAGGGGGTATCTGGCTGGGAACGATATTGCAGTCTAGACCCGTGGCAACAGGGCCGTGGGGAATGGAATCCGCTTCTATGAGTCACCAGAGAAAGGGCTTCCCACAGACTGAATTGTTCATAGAAAGGAGGATTCAACCAAAAGTATCACAGTGGTTGGAGAAACCCCGAGTGATCAACCACCCATGGCAAAACCCAAGGTCCTGCAGTAAAGAGGATAGAATAAGGGTACCCTTTTTTTCTGTAGTGTATTTTAGTAAGCGAACCCTCCCAACCAAAAAGTTGGGTGAGAGGTCGGGCACCTAGCTGGGGGACCTAGCCATGGCAAAGAATGTGAACACTTCGAGCCCAAGAGTTTGGTTGGGGCAGCTCTTTGGATGAGATCAATCCATCCAAAGCCGATTGGCCATCTCGGCGCAAGGAGCCTTCGAAGTATGAACTCGAGACAAAACAAAAACAAAAACTGGGTGGCTCCCATTGGACCCTAAGACCACATTTTTGTTTAAAGAGACCAACGGAAAATAGCTTACCCTTTCTCTACTCTCCGGACAGATCAACTGGGCGTGAGACAGCGAGAAAGTTGGGGCTGCCCTCAACCTTGGACGGTTTGAGGGTAGCCCTAGAACATCTTCCTGCACTCGACCGCGGATTCCGACCGAGTGCACACCCGGTCTGCCATGGACACATTGATGCGATGCTGCGGAAGCCAAAATCACTCGGCAGGTATCTGCAAAGACAGGGTTGCAGCTGGGTGCGTCTTTTGTGAGGGTTTCCTGGTGGGGTTTGTACAATGTAGATCGGAGGCAAAAAAAGAAGCAGTTTTTGGCGGGTCGCCTATTAAATTTTATGCAGACCCATTCGTCCGCTGCTCCATGTACTGAACACAAGAGCTTCGATCTGGAGAGATCAAATCAGCGCAGACATAATCAACAAATGCACCCTTGTACAAATAGCGTGGGTTGATTCCTAAAAATGGGGTGTGCCCGTGGGATTCATCACTCAGGCCCCCCACTCCAGCTTCTAGGATGGGTGCCTTAGTCCCTGCTTGAACCCTGGCTTCTCAAAGCTCCTTTAAAACTCAGCTTGTACCATGTCAACAGAGAAGTCCTCCAAAATGGCGGGTTTCCCTTCAGGTGCCTTGAAATCCGGACATATGGAAAACCGCAAATCATGGGAAAAGCTACCCATACTCATTTGGAAGCCGAAGGAAAATATGGGTGTGCAAGACACCTTGTGAAAATATATTTTTCCAGGTTGCCCAAAACCAGTGGTTTCCATCAAAGCCTCACCCTCCAATAAAAGCCGCCGGCCGCCTCGTTGGTGGCCGGGAACATTCTGGTGCTGCCGTCCGAGCGCACGATGCCGAACATCTCCGGGGCGCGCATCTCAGGGACCTGGCCACTCTTCGCCCCGGTGGAAGGTCTTGAAAAGTTGATCCGGGGGTCGACTTTTTTGAGGGTACCCGTTTTGGGATTGCTGGAAAGGGACACCAAAGGGAAAGTCACCGTGTTAAGGCGGTTCCTCCTCTTTGGACACAAACCCATGTCCAAACAGGTCGAAAAGTCAGACGTCTAAACGTCCCGCGGTGAAAGAAGGATGGCTCACAACGAAATCTCTGGGTAAAGGGGATGAACAAACCAAACTGGTGGAATCGTGGAGATCCATCAGTAGACACTTTGAGGCGTGACGCATGGGGGTGACTCTCAATTGGGGACCCGTTGGTAAACATCATCAATTGGATTGCATCCGCAAATTCTTCAACCATTCCAAACCCTGAGGTTCGGCACCTACATCCCCAAGTAAAGCACCTACATCATGGTGAGCTTTTTCCCTTCCTTTCAGGTGAGCTCGCCATCCAAGAAGCAGGCTCTACGTGGCCTCTTTGGTTTTTGAAAATAGGGACCCCTGGAACTGGTTGTTTGCTTTTCGAATTCCTAACCAGGCAAAGCTGTTGCTCCCTTTTGAGAATGCCCCAAGTAATTACGGAGATGCAGGGACCCAAGTTCAGAGAACATGGCGGAAGGGATCTTTCTAACAGTGGGTGTTGGCTTTAGTTTCGTGACCTGGAAGGTTTCAAAGGGATGGAGAGTAGAAGTGTCGACTTCCACGAACACCTGCGCACCTGTATAACCAAACACATGTTTTGCTTCTTGTGATTTGTTTTTTCCTCGTGAGAGGGCCAAAAGGCCGCGCTTTGTCGTGGAAGTGCGCCTCCGGGGAGAGGAGAGGCACCTTGAGGGGCCAGAGAAACCGGGGCCCATGGGCTCCAAGCCGGGCATAGCCTGCTTGGTCAGCCCATGAACCTCCATTTAAGTTAAGGCCCCGAAAAAAGAACATTAAAAAAAAAAAAAAAAAAAACAGTAGTGATGAATTCCCTTCAAGACCAACAAGGGGGAAAAAAAACAAAAACATATATATTCTTAAGCAAATGGAGGTGAAACAGCGTCGAAGGTCCAGAGGTCCCTCCCGATGTCCAATCTTCAAATATCGCCCCAAACAAAAACATAAATCTTGTTTGGCAATCCGACCGCTACGTCAGCCTTTGCCAACCGAAAGACTATGTATACCATGCGCTTCCATTTGCTTAAGACCCCTGGAAAAAAATCCAGTAGTGATAAATTCCCTTTAAAACCAACAGGGGAAAATCAAAAAAAACTTAACCAAATGGAAGTACGTATGTTATGAAGCACTAATTCAAAACTGAGATGCTCCAAAGGCGACGCTGATCGTGAAAAAGGGGGAGCTCCAGATTTGAGGTCTTGAAATCCGAGCTGCGCGAGGATTTAGGCCGTTGGTTTTTTTTGGACCCGCCCTGAGGTGGGAGACCAAACCAAAGGGGATCGCAAGGGTGTCAAGATATACATGTTTATATCTAGATTATATATATATATGGTCAGGCCCCCCCCCCCATGAACTGCCTTTCCTTCTGTCCTCATGAAATGACGGCAAAGCACTGTGTTGTTCCATAGTTCTTTAGTTCTTAGCTCTCTCAACCATATACATATATATATATATGAAACGACCCTTTTCCCCGGTATGAAAGAATTAAACGTATGAGTGCATTGCTTAATCCACTAAGCAATCTGAGTATGTCTCGAAATGTGCCCAAAATGGCATCCTTGGGGTTTCCTTGTTAAAGCAAGCAAAGGAGGGTACTTCTAATAATCTAGGGGCTATGGGGGTGATTCCCCATTCTTTTCAACCATCGTCCTTTCCAAAAACCGGATCCGTTTTCCCTGGGTTTCCGGAGGTTTTCTAGAAAGAACAAATCCCCGGAAAGAATGGGGAAGGTAGCACTAGACTACTTGTAGCCGAGAACCCCTGCCACGGCGCTCGCCCCCCCGCCTTTATAGGAACCCCCCCGCCACCTCCTGAGAAAATTGAAGACACGACGCCCGAAAAAAGCTTTCCGTCAGATCGGTTGCCCGATCGGAGCCCCCGCCTTGGGCATGCGCGAGGGCTTCTTCCAAGCCATTGGCCCGCGCTTAGGCCTCACATCCAACCAGCCGGAGCCCAGGCCGATGGGTGCGGCTTCACAAACAAGCGCTCCGCAAGAATCCACGGAGTGCGCGCATATGGCGAAAGACTGGTCATGCTTTTGAAACTTTGTTTTTCTTTGTTGTTCTTCCTCTTCTTTTTTCGGAGAAAACAAGAAACACATGGTAATGCATTTGAAACTGTTTGCTTTCAATCCTGTCCTGTCCTTGTTTGCAGCCGGTCACCTTCTTGTTTTACTCAACCATTGCAACCTAAGTTCGGGACGCTGATCATGTGTATGCTGGGCTGGCGTTGCGACTGAGCACGGACAACCCAATATTCATAGGAACTGGATGTGAAACTACCATGGGGATGACTCAACCATGGGGCGTGTGTTTTCCACTTCCACTTCCCAGCAAAACAGGGATCCTTACATTATACACCTGAACATTGCCTTGTATATGGTGGTTTCCATTTTTGTTGGTGGAAAAAGCCACATGTATCAAATGGTTGCAAAATGTGGCCATGGGTCAAAAGCCAAATCATGCCCCCAGTGAACATCAACCAATCCAACCACTAAAATAGGTTCTGTAATGGGTGGTGAATTCACCTGCCCACCAAAATGGGATCCCGTTTAACGGTTTTGACAACCACAGCCGTGTATCTTTTAAGGAGCCCCCTTCGCGGCTCTCACCGAATCCACCGCATGCACCGCATGCACCGCCCCGGCCCTGCTGGCACCCCTGGGGCCCGCGGCGAGCTCTCGCGGCTGTTGGCCTTGCTGGTGTTGGGCGTGGTGCGCGGCGTGATCGCCGGCGGCGCGGAGCGCGAGGGGCCCATCTTGGCAGGACACGGGGGCGGGAGGCTGTGGGAGGCTGTGGGGTGGGTCGGATCGGGTCGGGGGATGGGCGCTCAAGGGTTGACCCCGGATTAAAGTTGCCCCAGTTTATTCATCTGGAAAAGCTTCTCCCTGGTTCTAGCGGCATTTTAGCGGGGATTCGGCTGGGAGCCACCAAGAATTTAGACGCCCCAGTTGATGGGGCTTAGTGGTTGGATTCAGACCACTTTTGGAGGGGAACACCCCCATCATACCAATAAACAGGGGTTTATACATCCGGGGGCCCCGTGCAAAACTTTGATTTTCCGTTGGTCACTGGGAAAGTCTCATCTCCAAGGCCCCAAATCTGCGAAAGGGTGAGGGGGTCTCCGAAAATTGAAAGGGAAGCAGAGAACCTCATACCATGAAGCCATGCCTCCTTCTGCCCAAATGGAAACACATGGCCATCCTGGCGTAGCTTCGGGGGCAGGAAAACTTGAGAGGCGGGTGAACGAAGGCTAGCCTAGCCAGCCCAACGACAACATGTACAACTCAGGAGTTGCTAGGATATTAGGACGAGCAATCCTAAATGAACGTCTAGAAATGTCTAGAAAGACAGGTTCCCCAGCTGCAAACATGGAAGTGCGCACTCCCCTCGAAAGACTACGTCCCCTTGTCACGTGATAAATGCAGAAACGATGGCCTTGAAGAATGCCGTAACAAGTAAACCTTGGAAGTGAAACGCCGTGTATCGAGCAAGACTGCACGCCGATGCTGTAGTAACTTCCTCAATAAGATTCCGCTGAGGTGAGCGGCATCGGGCAAGGACAAGTCTACGCGTGTCGTTCCAAGTGACCAAAGAGCCTCGTCTATCTCACGCAAATGTGTATTTATATTCATCATTCATCTTTGCATCGCGCAAAGAATCTTGGATGTGTGCTAGCAACGTTGCATTCAATGCAGATGTTGACCAGATCGAGAGTCAACCATTTCAGGTATCCCTCTCATGTTGGTCCTAGCTTTCGAGTCATTTCGGTCCTAGTCAGTGTTGGGGAAGTTTTGGTGGTCTCTTAGAAGCCTCGGTACGAATTACGGATTTGAGAATATGCGCGGAAGGTCGAATTGGGTATCTGTCAAATGCCCGACATCGCAAGAAATCCCATGCAACGGCCTACCAGTCTTGCTTATTCACGCAAACATAGAGTTCCCAAATATGTACATACACACCAAACAACCAACTCTCCAACTAAAATGTGCCACCTCGACCACAAGCATAATGGTAATTGCTAAGATAGGACGAGTAAACTAAAGTGGTTGGTGGACAAAACATCGGGCCCAAATGACGCCCAATAAAAGGGTCCCACATCAAACCCATGCAACAACTTTACTTTTGGCAGTCCTGAATTTCTTGATTCTTGGTTTGGAGAAATCGATTTGCTGAGATACCAAAGCGGAATCTCCAACAACGATGTTCGATTTCCGTTTCGTGTTTCATTCAAACCCACCGTTCAAACGATCATAGAAAACACAGCCTAGAAATTGATCAAACTCCTCCCCTTTGCAGGCTGCGGAAGGGGCCGGGGTTGGCGCCTTTTGATGAGAAAGGCTCTATCTGGACATAGCCTGGAACGGTGTGATTCCCGGGTGTAATCCCAGGTCGTAGAAGACGCCTTGGACAAAAGGCAGGTCTCAGTGATAAGGCAAATCTGTGAACAGTCTTGGACAAATCCTTGGTGTCACAAACAAATCCTAAAATCCTTGCTGACCATTGAAAACGGGGTATATACTTCCATTTGCGGTTCCGCCCCCTGGAAAAAATTAGAAAACATGTCCAGTAGTGAAACCGATTCCCTTTAAAACCAACAGGCAAAAATAAAACCTATTCATTTGGCTGTGGCTCAAAATTAAACAGGAGGGGTTACGCAGGTTTTGGTCCATGTTTCCTCTTACCAGGGTTCCATTTTGGTACCGGTTTTTTGAGCCACAGCCATTTCAGCCAATGGAAGGTTTTTGGGGCCCGGAGCGAAAGCTCGCTCCCACGAGTCCCGGACACGGCCCAAGCGAATGGCAGCCGCCGGCGTCTGCTCCTCATCGCTGTCCGCCTGGATCTCTGTCTCGCAACCGGGCTCCAAAGTCGTCGAAAGGGTGTAGAAATTTGGTCTCTGGAAGAATTTACATACCCTCCCACCAACGAATAGGAACATGACAGGGGGTCCCTTCAAAAGGAAAAGGTCTTCCAGGACCCCCCTGTCAGGTTCCATGTCAGCTGGTGGGAGGGTATACACTTCCTCAGAACGTGGAAGCTCCCCCAATTGGCCTTTGTAAATGGAACCAAGTCTTCCAAAACAGTCCTGGGAGCTTCCATGTTAGTTTGGGAGAGGGTAAAAATTTGGCCTCTGGAAGAAAATACATAACAGCTGTGTACCCTTGCCCGAAGGAAAACATCGTAGGATCGCTTTACTCCCACCCTCCCCGAAACGTCCAATCCCGCCTGATTTCCACCAAATAATTATGCCCTTTAATATCAGCTTCCCACTAATCGGCGGTTTGGATTGGTGGTTTGGTGGTTAAGGAGGGGTGTTGGGACCTGGTTGGGACTTTTTGCGGCAATGAAAGGGGCTTGGTGCCCTGTTGGGTTAGCCACACCCAGCCCGTTTGGACACTGGAACCTGCAGTTTGAATCACGAGTTCCAACCCTTGAAACAAGAATCGGACACTCAATAGGGTGCTGACCCTTCGTGCGGATGAACTCTTGAATGAGAGGTTGTGCACATGCACCTTCAATCAAAATTCAGAGGGCGTCCGTGGACGCATGGCACCTTCGGGCTGCTGAACTCACTCTGTGTTCGAACAAATCCAAGGTCCGGGGTGATGTGCTTCTGCATGTAACCTAAGTTGTCTGAGGCTTCGCGATATCCGCGTAAAGCGGCATTTGCAAGGATCTTTGCTATGCGTAGGTTTCCAGGCGCTCCTCTCTTTGATCCATAAGGATAGCCCAATCTGGCAGCAGTGTCAGGGTGAAATTTCACCTTGTCAAGCTCTGTGACGAAGTCAAGTGCTTTGACCTTTTGCACATTTTCTTGGTTGACGTTGGAAAGGGAGCAAAACAAAAAATCAGCAGTTAAGTGGGGATTTCAACCACTAAACACGACAAACGAAAATGAAGAAAATGCTTCCCAACAACAACCCCCAATTAAGGCTCGCCTGAAAGTCGGGCGAAGTTTGGGCCGCAAATTGGATCCAGGTGGGCGAACCCGAGCCGCCCTCCCACCGCCCCCCAAGAAACCACCAGAGCGCCCCCCTCAAAACCCCCGTAGTTCAGGAGCTCAGTGGATTGCACTTAGATGTTATACACACAGGTTGCTTTGTTTTCTCTCGCTCTCTCTCTCTCTCTATCTCTTTATATATATATATGTATGCATGCATATGTCTATATGGTCACCCCCCCCCCCCCCCCCCCGCACGAACTACATTTGGACCATTTAGCTCATCCCACCCCGTATTTACGGTGGTTTCTTGCATGGATATGCCTATATAAATATATAGATACATATACCATACAATACACATTACGATATATATATATATGCTAATATATATATATATATATATATATGTTACATCCCTTCAGCCTGAGAAAAGGCTTTGGCCACCTCCTGGCCGATCCGCCGATCCGCCGATCCGCGCCTCCAACTTCTTGGATGTGGCGCCCACCAACTTTTGCCCGTCCTCGCGGACTCGACCGAGTCGACAGAATCGACCAAGTCGAACGGAACGAAGGAAGGAACGAATCAAGGAACGAAGGAGAATGCCATTTCCATTATTTCCAGGCCTTTCCAGGGTTTCCAAAATAATGAAAATGCAATTTCCATTATTTCCTCGCGTGCCCCCTGGAAGGAAAAAGGCACCTGGAGTCTCTTCTGGGTCAGCACCCCCTTGATTTTGGCTAACCCCATTTGTGGAGACTCCAGGTATGTGTCAAAAGAAAAACGTCCAAAGTGGCAGGGAAACTGTGGACCAGCACCGTACGGGTCCCAAGGAAATCGAAAACTGTCCTGTGGGCTTCTGACCAAGACAACGAGGATACCCTCAACAAACAAACATCTACAAAGGGCAAGTGTACGAGTTCAACAAAATTCAAGCGGAGCTCTTCAAGTGGACCTTGGGTCTTGCCCAAAATTGTGTTCTGCCCGTTAAACAACACTTTGGCGGGCAATTTTGAGGATGCCAACTTCATGAACCCCAGCGCTGTTCAGGCATCTAATTGAAGGCGTGGAGGTATTTTTCAATAAAGGGCATACTGTGGATGGACGAAATCCTGCACCACCTAAGAAACGCTGGAATGATGATTCGCTGTAAACAATCGCCTCATGTGATTTCATGAGAAACAGAAGGAGAAAAACAACTAAAGAGAAAACCAAAAGGAAACAAAGGCAAACCAAAGGCAAACAAAAGGGACCCAGGTTAAAACAAAAGGGGGAAAAAAACACAGGGACAACACTAGGAAATAAAAAGGAACAAACAAAGATAAAACAAAGGAAACAAAACACATGACAAAACAAAAAGACCACCATGTTGGTGGTTCCAACCTACAAGAGGAGCCACAAACCTTTGAGAATGGCCTCATCTTCCATTTGCTTAAGACCCCTGGAAAAAATGATAACATATTTCCAGTAGTGATAATTTCCTTTTAAAACCAACAAGGGGACAAAAAACACATCTTTTAAGGTGAAACTGGAATGACAAGGAAACAAACAAGGGATGAATATACAACTGCTTCAAGCACTGAGCCCAGACCCCATGTTAAGCCTATGGAAAGTAAAACATATTCTTTTCAGCAAATGGAAGTCGTTCGCCCGCGCCCCCCCCCCCCCCGAAACCGCTCGAAACCGCTCCTTGCCCTCCACCAGCAGGCTGCCGCTGCGCATGCTCCACGGCTCCCCGGTGAGCGCGTAGGGCACCTCAAGCAAACATTGCGAGGTTTTTCTTTTTTGGATCCCTCCCCCCCCCCCCCCCCCCCCCCCCCCCCGAAAAAAAACAAAAACAAACTTACCTGGTTTATGAGTAAATATGTGGTTGTTCAATTTGGCCATGGGGCAATTAGATGCCATGTGACGGAAGAGTTGGGAGGTTTAACAGTTGGGGGCCGGTTTGGCTTCCTGTTGCGAAGCAAAACGTGGATGTTCAATTAGGCCATGGGTCAAAACCCAAATCGTACCCCCAGTGAACATCCCAATCCAACCACTAAAATAGGTTCTGAAATGGGTGGTGCACCGAAAACCCCAAAATGGGATCCAATTTGGTTTTGAACCATGGCCATTTGAGCGGGGCATGCCCTACGGAACTTTTGTTCCCTAAGCGATAGATCCCTGCCCCCCCCCAAAAAAAAAACAACAACACCTTGTTTATGGGTAAATACAGGGAAAATAAGATAAATAAGGTAAAATAACATATAAATAGGTAAAAGACCCTTGTGTCTTGTTGATGGGTAGAGACCTCCTCTTTTCTAGCAGAGGGAGGACAACATACCCTAAAAAGCGGAATTGTGTGGGTGTAGGGGGGATTTGCCGCAAAGGGTTGAGCAAAGGGTCAATCACCTTAAAGGTTTGATGGAAAAGCCCATTGATGTTTCTAAAAGGACTAAGCCACTAGGTTTCGGGGCTTCACCAACTAATGTTGACCCAGGATTAATAAACCCCTCCCATTATTAGGGGGGTGTTCCCTCCAAAAATGATGAATCCCCACTAAAAGGGGACACACCCCTGTTAATCAACCAGAGGTTTATTAATCCGGGCTGAACATTATGCTAGTGGTTCGTTAATCCCTTGCCACAAACTTTGATTTGAGTGGGAGATGTCGTACTGTGGATGGACGAAATACATTTCGTACCACCATTGTTGAAACCATGGTTGAAACCACAAGGTTTGTTAGCAACGAGGGGAATCGAATTCGAGAAACCGTTGGGGTTTCCTGAACTGGTGCCTTCTTACGATGGACATTTCGCTTCACCGTCTAGGTCCTCCAGTTAGAATAAGGGTACCCTTTTTTTTCTGTAGTCTTTTAGTAAGGGAACCCTCCCCCAAAAAAGGGGTGAGAAAGGGCACCTAGCTGGGGGACGTAGCCATCCACAGGTGCAACAAGAACACATGTCGGACAAAACCGTCCGAACCGCCTGGCTGCCCGGCTGTGGTCTGTTGGACTTCATGGGAGCCGTGGACAGTTTCGGGCGAGAAACGAGACGCATGATCTACCAATCCATATAACTGGGTGAATCATAATATTTCACCAACCTGAAATAAGGTTGCTTCGGGGGCTATTCTCCATGTAAACCACCATTTGGCGTGAGGTCGTGTGAGGTCGTCATAATTCACCCAGACATTAAAAAGAAAGGAGGAGACCCGTTGTCGTGGCAAGAGGGGAGGATTCAGAAGGAAAGAAAAGGCACGGCCATCTCAATTGTGGGCTGAATGGATATCAACCTGCTCACCAAGCGTAAACTCCATTTTAAGCAACTTGGACAGTCTAGTCACCCCTTATCTGTTTGTTCATCCCTAGATAATTAACCGCGCGACTACGTAGCGCTAACCTCCCCCCCCCCCCCAACACAATTCTAAGGAAAGTTGCGAATGCTTGCTCCCATACTGCTTTATTTCTTTTTAGTTCCACTCTAACCACAAAGATCAGCCATCCAAGAGCAGATGTGAGCACCCTAAGGCTGGCTTGTTTTCAAGGGCCCCTGAAGGGCTCCGGGTTCTTCATAGGGCCCGGGGGCCTTGCATTGGAGGGGTCATGAGCCTGAGGGCAAATTTGTATTCACCTGCACTTTAAAAAAAAGAAGCACACACTTGACAGGCTCACACCGAAATGATCTATTTCCTCCGAATCCAGGCCACAGGGCCTTCCAGGCATCGGAACAGAAAGGGAAACTTACTCATCGGTAGCGGTCAGGACACCGAGGAATTGAATGGATCTCCCGACAGCTTTGGCCCCCAACTCAAGACCAGATCAATTCACTTTTTGGGTCCAGATGTGAGCCTTTTTTCTGCAAAATCTATGAATGAAAAGATCCCAACAAAGTGGAGCGCTACCCTCAGTGACTCAGGTTTCAAAATGGATGTCCATCTGGGTAGATGGTCTCGCAACATCTGCACATGCGTCCACCAAACCTGTTGTTTACCACTCAAATGGTCCAAACCCGAAATGGGGTTGCCTTTGACGAGAGAACGTGAAAACGGCGGGATTCCCTTTGGCTTCCCTTCAGAAACCCCAAAAAGTAACCTTCAATTTGCTTCCGCCCCCTGAAAAAAAAAAGAAATATGTCCAATAGTGATAGATTCCCTTTGAAACCAACAGGCTGCAAAAAAGAAATCTTCTTCACCAAATGGAAGACACCCCCTTGATATATGCTTTTTTGCATCCTAAAGCAACTCGAACAAACGCCCTGTGGCACCTCGAACTTGTACACCGGCAGCCATACCCTCTCCACTTGGTCGCGAGGATCCTGGCACTGGATTTTCCCTGTGGATTCGCGCGGGAAAAAACAACTAAAAACAATGCGGATTCCCTGCCCAGAGTCTCAGAGGCCCCTGGCTTTGGCTTTCAATGGAAGACAGCCCTCCATTAGACACCGCGCCAACCGCTAATTCGGGGTCTCGAAACCAGGTGGTTTGAAGGCCCATCAATCGAATTGGAGCCTCTGGGTGCGGATTCGAACCAAAGAAAAGCGCGCCAACGCACTTCTCTAGCCCCAACACATGGGTTTGACACACGCAGATGGTCAATTGTGGACCAATTGTAACGCTCAGACCATCTATGGAATCCATCTGGTAGGTGATCAGTTAAAAAGTCTTATGAATGCAACCAATTCCGGTCCGTTTCGACTTGTTTTCGGGGTCTCAAAAAGGGTGCCGCTTTTTGAACACCAGTAGGTTTGCTACCAGGTCCCCGAGAACAAAACAAAAAAATGGCCTGCGAGCACTCCACTTGATCTGAAACGCTTGGACACAACCAATTCCAAGTGGGCTTGCGGCAAACTCAAGCTGGACATTGCAACACGCACTCCGGTGCCAAATCACAACTGGTTTTCTGCGGCCGCGGCCTGTGGTTGAGCCCGCTTCCGCAATGTAGGCTCACAGTCAGGCTCATAAGCCCCAATATTGCTTCCAAAGCCAACCTTCACTAGGTCCTCCAGTAGAGAGGTTAGAATAAGGGTACCCTTTTTTCTGTAGTCTATTTTAGTAAGGGAACCCAACCCGAATGCGGACAATTGGCACACGCACACACACACACACACATACACCCACGAACGCACGCAGGCATACACTCACGCACGTCTCTAGGTAAAAGAGTCAACTTTGGGGGGGGAATCCAAAAAAGGCCCGTTTCAAGCAGAGAGCGCTGTTTACCACTTTGCGGCAAGCACACGTCGCATTGCAGGCTTCGCATTGTAGTGGAAACGGCGGTGGTCTAACGACTACCAGCTCAGTCTTGTGACTGCGAGCGAAACTTGCCATGTCTGGGCTGGTCAAACTGGCGAAAATCAGTTTTTTCCATAAGCCCCATAATTGGGAAAGCACGGCAAAATGAACCACTATCGAAACTCAAAAGAAGCTAGGTCCTCCAGCAGAGAGGTCAGAATAAGGGTACCCTTTTTCAGGACGTCTATTCTGGGAAGTCAACCCGGGGTCAGAGGTCGGGCACCTAGCTGGGGCAGCTACTCAAAAGAAGGATTGACGGCTTGCCTCGGAACGCCCAGCACCTAAATCAGCGGAAGGTAAATCTCTAGGCCCAAGAGCCACATTGCCCTGTTCCAGGTCGCACTTTGGCTGTGTCAGCCAGACGCACTCTTTTGGAGGTCTTGAACACGGAATTCAACTGATTCTGATAAAGGGAGCCGAGATGAACCAAGATTGTTGGGCCCGCCCTGCAGACAATGAACATGGGCCCCCGCGCGGCCTCTTCGACTCGGTTTGAGGTTCAAAAACAAGACATGTGGGAATGCAAAGCGCATTTTGGGGGAGAGACGCACCCAAATGAATTTTGAGGGAGGGTTCCTCCCGTTCGTCAGATCATACATCTTAATCTGATTGAAATTGTTTACCTCTTTGAACAAGCACCCCGAGCAGAATTTCGGCTCTACAGCTACAGGAGATGCTGCCGAACATAACCAAAAGATGTGCTGTTGAATTTCCTGGAGCTGGATTCTATGAAAGTTACACAAACTGACAAATCGGACATATTGGGGAGCTTGTGTGCGCCTTCTCTTTAACCCGACGAAACCAGGTAGGAATCGAACGAACTACCTCCTAACAGGGCCATGGGCAGAACTCACTATGGGTATGGTCATGTTTCCTGAATATCGAATAGCTACCATGGTTGTCTCAATCGATCCCGCAGTTGATCCCATTCTTTTGGGGTGCCATGTTGCAGGAGTTTACTTTCGCGTCTTTAGAGGTTGTGACTTTTTTTTCATGAGCAACACCCTCGATGGGCTCAAACATCGCACTCTTGTGTACATCCACTACAAAGTCTCCCCAAGACCAAAACGTGCAGTCCGGCACAAAGTCTTCACGCAAACACAGAAATGACACTGGAGATCAGCCGCGAGAAATGGCTTCACCCCAAGTGGTTCGTCGATCTCTTGTTCGAAAAATTGAACCGCTCTTGAGGACGAGTTTTTTGGCACTCGAGGTGCACTTTAGGCCACGCATTTGTCCAGTAAAGTGGCCGAAAGAAAGCTCTACCCTGACCTGCCCTCAGATCCCCCGCAAAAAGTTTGACTTTTAGCGGGTTAAATACGGAAACTACCACAAAAAACACCAAAAGGATCTAAAAAGCTAAGTTGAACCGGATGGCTGGGAGCCACCCAGTTCTACCAAGCGACCTGCCAAAAGGGAGCCAATGAAATGTCAGGGCCCGCAATTGCAGACCGAAAGCGGAGCGAGAAAACTCCGCCAAGCACCTAGCGCTGGCGTTGCCGCATGCTCTGTATCCCGTCGCCAGTTTTGGATCTTATAGGCCAAGGCCCAAACCGAATCCTTCACTTGAATCAAACATAGTTGCATCAAGTCATTGGTCATCTCACTTCCTGAGTTGATGGGCCAAAAAACGTTTGAACTTTCTGTTTACCACTAAAATGGTCTCCCCAAAAACTTTAAAGTCCGGGAACTCAAGTCATTGGTCAATAACAGTTGAAGAACCCGAGCGGCGAAGGTTGCGACCTCCGTTCCGCGCAAAACAAGCGGATGCTGATGAATCAAGCGGGGTGCTTTCTGGTTTGGTCCTTCGACACCATCCCAAAGAGCCGATCTTAAGGTCCGGGGGGGGGGAGTTGGTGCCCAATTCCGTTTCTCTTTGGGAAAAGTGGACCCAAACAAATCCAAGTCGAACCCGTTCAGAGCCCCGGAAAAGAGAGCCTCTGATTCTGGCACCGCAAGGCCCAAATGGTGGATGGCGCACTTGCCCCAGACTTCGTGCGAATGCATTGCTGCACCTCCATTTGGCAAAGACCCCTGAGAAAAAATATTTCCAGTAGTGGAATCGACTCCCTTTAAACCAGGAGGGAAAATTTTAAAAAAAAATATTTCCAGTAGTGATAGATTCCCTTGAAAACCAAGAGGGACAAATAAAAAAAACATCCAGTAGCGAAATCCATTCCCTTTCAAACCAAGGGGAAACATATTTCCAGTAGTGAAATCGATTCCCTTTAAAACCAAGAGGGACAAAAAATATATTTCCGGTAGTGAAATCCATTCCCTCTAAAACCAAGGGGAAAAATAATATTTCCAGGAGTGATATCGACTCCCTTTAAAACCAAGAGGGAAAATATAATATTTCCAGTAGTGAAATCGATTCCCTGTATATCGAGCGCGCGCGAGCGGAGACGTGCGCAACGTGAGCGGTGCAGCGCCTCAGTCAGTGCCAACAGGCGCGGCAAACGAGCAAACTGTATACAACCCTTAATGCGAGTACGGAAGGGGAGTGCGCCCACCTCCGGCTTCGAGACCGTGCGTGTACACAGGCTGCTCGAGCAGATTGCATCCAGCCCAATTCGAGCACGGAAGGGGCGTTCACAAGGCCCACAAAACAAATAAAGTACAAAATGCCAGGCAGTTGCTGGCAAGGTCACTCAAGGTTGGCAAAGTAAAATATAAAGGGAAAACACAAGAGCTGTGCTGCCCTTGGGGCTCAGGTCTCGGCATCAGAAGCACCCAGGTTCGAAATTCGATCTCGGCAACCGCGGTTTGGAAAGGCAGTCAAGCAAGAACGTGAGCACGATGTAGCTGATGGGCCCGAAGCCTGCCTGATCAGAGTCCAAGCCATCAAGCTGCTCAGCGACATACCTAATTAAAGCGGCTGGGTAGGAACGGGTGGATGTCTCTTGCAGGCATATCCGGTTGATTACCTCCTGCAAGCGTATCCAGTTGAACGGTGCAACTTCAACCAAGCTCAAGCGACCTACCGTATCGGCCCAGTCAACATCAAGGTCCGGTCTGGCGGCTGGTTCCTGGACGTCCTTGCCCTCCCAAGTGTCCGGAGTGCCAAAAAGGCTCCAAAGTGGCGAAAACTAATCGACCTGCAGGTTGTAGATGGTGAAGCCACCTTCGACCTCTGAACCAGGCATGTGAAAAAAACAACAACCGGCTGACCAACGGGAACCCGGGAACCGCGCTGCTGACCCATGAGGGCATCACACAGTTGGAAGACACCCGAGATCTGCTACAACTGAAAGAGGGCACACCCTTTGCATTCCATTCCCTTTAAAACCAAGAGGGCAAAAAAAAGGAAATATTGCCAGTAGTGATGATTCCCTGTAAAACCAAGAGGGACAAGCAAAAACTATCCTTTAAAACCAAGAGGGACAAATAATATTTCCAGTAGTGAAATCCATTCCCTTTAAAACCAAGATGGGAACAAAAGTATTCTTAAGCAAATGGAAGTGCATTGCGGCCAGCGGCCTTGAGCCGCGTAAATGCGACTCCTTCGGAGAGGCCAAGCATCGATTTGCAAATATGTGTAAACCCCAAAGCCTGATATGAAAATCGGATCCCCAAAAACAGGGCACCGTCTAAAGAAAAAGACAGGGCGAAATGGGACGAGCCTGACTGGGCTCTTCAAAATGGAGGGTTGGCCAATCCTAATCCATAATCCCTATAGGAAAGCCACTACAAAGGGGACCCCTTACGCAACCCCAAGTAAGAATTGAGGATTGCCTTTGAACAGCTCAGCCTGATATGAAAATCGGATCCCCAAACACAGGACCAAATATATAGATATATATATATACACATATAATATGTATATATATATGTGTATGCAAGCTAACCAAACGGCACCACACACCGGCACGCGATAACTCTTTTATCCGAGCAGTGTGTTGGTGCCAGGGACTCATCTTCCCCTGTCAGATGACAAAGGCTGGGTGGGCCCCATGGGCCACCCAACTCACAATCTCAAAAACTGAAGAACGGGTGTGCAGACTGATAGCGCCCGCCCCTGAGC